TGTTTTTTTAACTAATAGAAAATCAAATAAAAGTAAACAGCGAAGACATGTAAAGTGAAATGATTTTTACTACAGGAACATTTATGAAATCTAATAAAGAGAAAAATGTAAAAAAAATATTTTCTAAAAATTTGGTTGCAGTTTGCGGGAACATCAATACTCTTCATACATATATTCAATTCTATCAATTCTAAATCAGAAACTTACTGTAAAAGAGTACTTATGTTATGTAGTAAAGTAATTTGATATATAATCAATTGGAAGTAATCTTAATTTTTTAAAGCTATATTAATACATCTTTGGGCTTCAACAAGACATTTAGCTCTAAAACAAGTTCATTTTTCACTACTTATTTCTGTTCACTGACTTTTAAGCGCAAGTATTCACTCATTTTAAAGTCACTCATTCGCTTGCTATTCACAAATAAGAAATCTTAGTTCAAAAATTGGTTTCTTTAAATATTATCTGATATTTTATAATCAGATAAAACATAGACAAATTTTCAAACACTCATGTTTTATCAATGCATTGATGTTTCCTAATTCATACCAATATAGTGTTTCCTAACACTACAAGAAGTGAGAAGGCTACAAAGACTTTCAGGTGGAGCATAGCATGAAACACGGTGCTAGACACGTCTTTCGTTGCACCACAAAGAGCATGACGAAATAATGTGACCTTTTCACATTTGTGTAAAGGGTATAGAAATCACAAAAGAGTATAAAAATTTGCCGAGTGAACTTTTGCATTTACTGCAATTAATTACAGGTGGGAAATTGCGGTACCGACATATGCATTCATAGCATTTTTAATGTGTATAATGCGGAAACAATGACTTGTATAAAACACGTTCAAGTAGTGAAAGAAAGGTAGCTAGCTAGCGTACTAAACGTTGAAATGGACTCAACGGAGTTAAATGTAATAGTGCAACTAAATCGTTTCAGATACCTTCTATGAGATGCCACATTGCGGATATGGGACTATATTAAAGTGTTTGTGTGTCAGTTTCGTTAAATACTTGAAAATGTGGCACTCATTCTTATGTTACTTATTGAGTTTTTAACGCAAAGTAAGTGTGAAGTTTCTGCTCTAGGTAGTTGTATCAGGTTATGGAGACGTGCCGCATGTTGCCAGTCATTTGCATTTTCTGCAGTTTTTGCGTTCATCTCCAATTTGCTGGATGCCGCGCTAACACATTAAAATGCAACGCATATTGTGTTGATACTCATTGTGTGGCTAATAAAAAAAACACATTTGACAGAAATGCTCTTATAATTAAGCACTAACATGAAAACTACATTTCGCTTGGAGTGTTTATTTTATATTTAATAGATATAAGCGTGAAAAGTTGCATACTTTTTTGTTCTTGTATCCTATGTTATTTCTAAGCAAGAGTTACTTCTAAGTAAATATGGAACATTCAAAGAAACGTTGAGTCTATATGTACTGATTGCTACGTAAACGAAAAATTGTTGTGTGGCAAAAAAGTTGAGGTCGCTTTCTATATAACAATAAAATGCAATTACAAAGCATCGCACCAATTCCAATAGTAGTCGTATCGTGATGTAGATGAACAATGTCAGCTTTTTGATTCACCATTAGTAGTTAATAATTTCATTAAAGGACATTCGCACTTCATAACAGTTCGTTCTACCAAGACATTACCAATACCTGCACTCAACAGTCAGATACAATTACTAAATAACACAGTTTTAAAAATAGTAGAACACATCTCCGCGAGTCCCAACAACAACAATGTGCTGGTAACATTTATTGGCATCGATGACTGAATGTCGACCGTTAGTACCTATGGAGTACTAACTAACAGCTTAAGCAATAATCCTCTTCAACTCAATCACAAGATTTATACATGCATATACACATATATAAATCATTTGAACCATATGGATATATATTTGCGCTTGACTATAAAAGACTCTAAATGACTATAAATGACTCAATGCATATAAGATTCGGATAATTGCATTAATATTATTTATATTAAATAAGAGAAAAATGTACATATACGCCTTACAAGATATTGCATCTAAAATTACAAGACTGCAAAAAATTCTTTGCTTTTCAGCTGTTGTTAGTTATTATATTATTATAGTTATATAAAACGCGTTATAAAAACCAAACATTGAGAACACGATAATGTTAACCCACATTAGGCTCTAGGCGCACCAAGAAAATGTAATGTAACAAGAAAATTTAAAATAATTTACTTCAAAATAAAATATGTTCAAAGTGGGTAAACGTTAAGCAAAGTTAACGCAAAGATAAGAAAAAAATGTTGCAACGTCAGCGAGGAAGGTTGAACAGTTCGTTAAAGATTCTAGAAGCCACTTGAGGAGACAAACTTGTTAAAAGGAAACAACTACAAAAGCATAAAAATAATTAATTATACCGTGGTAAGTTTTCAAAAGTAGCAACGCACGTTCCTCTGGAGTAAAAAGTTTTCAACTGCAACTGCAACCGCAACTGCAACCATAAAGCAGAAGTTGAAATGGTAACCGCATTTGCGTGGCAGAAATTACAAACTGAAATATTGTAAAGCTAAACATAAAACAGTAAACGTAGGAGGCGTTTAAGACAATATAAATGATAAGTTACAAAGTTTCAACTATAACATCCAGTTGTTCTTTTGCTCATGTTGATAACAGACTAAGAGACTTGAATATAGTATGTTATATTATATTATGTATACATAAATACACAGTTAATTCAATTTTAAAGAGTTAAAGAATTACAAAAATCATTTTCAAATATATATTTAAAATAAATGTTAAAGAAATCGAAAATGAAGTGTTGATACATTATATTAACAGCAAAAAGAAAAAAAGAAATAGTTCGTACACACACCTTTTTGTATTCGCTAAACATCGAAATACATAGAATGTTATTTAGGTTTTCTGCATGAATTACCTCTGAATTCGTTTCAGAACATCAATGAATAAGTTGTGTTCGACAAAATTCTTATGATTTATAAAGACTAATATACGCACTTACCAGCATAAATTGCTTCAATAATTATATCTTCCAATTGGCGCACGACAGTAATTTCCAATTCCTCCATTAATAAATCGTATTTTATGCATTTTCTCTTAACAGCCATCGACACAATAGTTAGCTGCTGTAATTTTTTCAGCATCACTGGTGTTAGGTCTATATAATCTTCCTGTTTCTGTTTGTATTCTTTATAAGTGCCATAAGCAAACAATTCCAATGTTTTATAGTACTTAGCGTTTAAACCAGTTTTAAGCTGCAACATAAAAAAATTAGTTTTTACAAAACGCTTAACAACATATACGCACCTCTGCGACGTTTGGCATTCCTAAAAGTTCTGCAAATACATAAATCCCTGGTGCTTCTAAGACCTGCTTTACCAACTCCAAAATCGCCTGGCCATGGGCCGTCTTTGCCAACAGGCAGAATTGTTGTAATCGATTTTGCGCAGCTTCCACATTACTTGGCTGAACTTGCTCGTTATCAGACATTGTTTCATCTCTAGTCATTTTATAATATATTATTATTACGATAGCAGTTTTAATGAAAAATATGTAAAATGTTTTTTGGAGCACCGGCAAGCAAACAAATAAATTTTACAAGCACTCAACAGCTGATTTTGAAATGGCAAATGCAGTGTACGTTCAGCACATGCACTTCAAAACCATGACACAGAGTTGTTTGGGGTGAAAACTTTTTGATCAAAATGAATCAGCACTACTTGTTAATATGATTCTTAAATAATATTTCTCAAGATATTAATGAATATGAAGAAATAATTTATACAAATATGACAGTTATTTTAAGAATCTCTTTTCGTATAGAATTTTCAACTTGTTTACACTTTAATGACCTTTAATGGCCAATTGCACAGTCATCTCAAGTTTCAAGATCGACTGAAATATGAATAAGTGAGCAAGGTTGATTACTTAAACAGGACTTATGTCAGTTATGAATCCTAAGTTCGGACTATGACATCAGCGCTAAGTGTTTAAACATTTACTTTAAGTGTTAAGCTGACAACGAAGTAGGAAACCCAAATGATTGGCATACCATCTTGTTAAATATACGTATTACGTAGACAAACAAATTTATTAATTTTTATGTTACTATTTTGTTGTGTAATAAATATATTCAATAAAGTTTTAAACAGCGATATCTCGAGCTATACAGATATTTAAAAAAGTTGTTTAGAATAACAAAATTTATTAAAATCCTTTCTAATTATAGTAATGCTAAAGCATCGAAAAAAAAATAATATAACAGTTGAAAAGTTATTAAGCTAAAATTAGATTTTTAAAGGGGTGTTTATTTGTATTATTTAAGGAATCTAAAAATATATATAAGTATCAACAAAAATGTGATTTGTGACTATTTAGGTAGATTAAACACTATTTTTTTACAGAATATATCGATAAATAACTGTTAAAATATGAAAATATAAATATATAACAATACTCTTTTGTACTCGGCTCATATTAAAATATTACATCATTGTATTCTCAAACATACGCGATGTCAAAAGTAATTGATAATAGTGCATTCACACTGTCTCATTTAGGCAGTTGCTAATATATATTAATGATTGAACGTGCACATTATTAGCTCATTTATGCGACTGATAAAACTTTTATGAACTTCACATTACAATATATCACACAAAAAAAAAAATATATAATTGATATATTAAATCATACATATACATATTATATATCAAACCGAAAAATAGGCGATTTTAGCAGTCTTAAGTCTCACACTATGGCTTTTGATGCTTTACACCTACCGACAAGAAAGCGTGCATATGCGCACTCTTTATTAATGCACTCAATCATTTGTAGGTAAATTTTTGGTTAAAAATACATGATTTTTGGATCACGTAAAGAGCTTTCATTCTTGTAAAATGTTCTCTACTAAGTTACTCTCTCTTGATTCGTTTTTCAACACATCTTCAGTAAATAAGTTTTCTAACACTTATCCTTCTGTTTTATTTTGTTCTTTTATTTTTTTATTTTATAAAGTTTATATTATTTTAGTGATATTATTTAAATTAGTTTGTTTTTCTTAAACAGTTTTAATCTTTCCTAAGTTTTATTTAAACTTTTTATTTGTGAAATAATTAGTGCAAAGAGCAACAAGTGGAAACACTATTGTGATGAGAAGCTGAATTATTAAGTGCACCTTTACTTCACGTTTATTTTGCAACTTATTTTTGTTACAATGAATCGTGATGACCAATTGTTTTGGTTTCACGGAAAAATATCTCGTGAAGAAGCAGAAACATTGTTGATGGAAGGTAAATTAAAACCGTATTGATGACTATTTCAATGTGTTACATATTTATATTATTTAAATAATTAAGAGGGCAAAGTGGATGGAGCATTCCTTGTTCGAGAAAGTAATACTGCAAGTGGTGATTTTGTGCTTAATGTTTTATATAAGGTGAGTATTTATTTACATATTTATCTATTGTTGACAGAAACTAATCACGATGATGATTTATTTTGTATGATAGGGTCAAGTTTGCCATTATCAAATTCGACGACATGGTGAAGACGCTTTTTTTTCAATTGATGACAAAGTCAAAATATTACATGGTCTCGATACCTTGGTCGAATTCTATAAGCAAGGATCAAATGGTATTGTCACTCGTCTAACAGTACGAGTTAAAAAAGATCTACCTCCAAACGATTCACGCAGTCATGGAATAACTAATTTACTACATCGCGCGACAAGGGAATGCAACCAACGGGTGGTTTCAGAACTGTTAAAATGTGGTTACCGTAATGTCGACGCAAAAAATGAAGATGGCCAAACCGCTGTGCACTTAGCTGCGATACATTGTGATGAAATTATACTGAAATTACTTTTAGATGCTGGCGTAAACGTAAATTGTATGGACACATCAGGAAATATGCCGCTACATGTAAGTGATAACCTATCATATATTATTGAAAAAGAGCTATTAACAGTAAAATGTTTCTGAAAGTACGCTTGTCGGACCAAGTCAGCATCTTTTATACGCATTTTAATAAATGCACATGCCAATGTGCAAGGTCGTAACATAAAAAATGGTTTCGTTCCAATGCATGAAGCTGCTAAATATGGTAATCTAGCAGCAATTAAGGAACTGCTTTCTGCAAATGCGCCATTGCTTCCACGAACAAATTTTGGTGAATTTCCAGTTGATCTTGCTAGGGAGATGAATCATAAAGAGGTTCTAAAGTTCTTTGATAATTATAAGCTTCCTCCTGCAACCACATACAAACGGCAATGGTATCATGGAACATTAAGTCGCGATGAAGCCGTTGAAACTTTATTGTCGTTTGCGACACAGAGTGAGAACTTTCTAAGCTCAAATTTAAGTTCTGAAACTGAAGAAAAACCGCCAGTTGATATACCAAGTACAGCAACAAATCGTACAACAAACGGAAACCTCGATACATCTGGGTGCTTTCTGGTGCGATTTTCCGAAAGAAACGCTACTGGATCCGGATATGTTTTAACATTGCTTTGGGAAAGACAAGTTAAAAACTTTATAATATCTCAATCGGTAAAATGAAATGAAAATCAAAAGCAGAAATAAAAATTAAGTCAATTTTTTTTCTCCTAGTCAAATTATCTGTATATAGACGATGGTCCATATCTTCCATCATTAGATCATTTAATTGAACATTTTATGCGGTTTTCAGATGGTCTCCCCGTTAGCTTGAAATTTCCTGTACGTCCAAAACCGAAACCACCGCTACCGCTTTTTTCAACAATGCCTAGGGCAAGCCATAAAAAACCAGACAGTACTGCAATATCTCCTTCAAATGAACAGACAATATTCCCAACAGAACATTTGTTTAAGGGATCACTGAATGCACAAAAAATTAATACATCCGAAAAACTTCCGGACTCAACAAAAAAGAAACAAAAGGAAAGCTCTGGCTCCGTTTTTAATACCCTCAGGCTTCGAAGTCCTAAAAAAGCAAACATTATAGACAGTATGAACAGTTTGCGTAAAAACAAATCCAAATTGAAATCGAACGAGAAAGAGGAAAAAATTGCTAGCCCAATTAAAAACAACGAGGATCAATTTAATTCTTTGTTTAAAAATCTATCCTTTTCAACAGAATTTTCTGATATGCAAGTTGGGATTGGAAAAATGTTACCAACTGACGTCGGGCTACCATTAGCTTCATGTGATGAATTTTACAATGTGCCAAAAAATAATTCCGCTATTTCGAGTATAGAAATAGAAAATAAGACTGACGCTGATGTCGAATATTTTACAAAAAGCGATGTGACTATAGAGCAAGAGCGAATACCAGAAGCAATTCCAGACTTTAAAGATGGGTTCGTAAGATATTTTTATCTGTTTTAATTTATTTATAAACTGATCAAATTTTAGTTCAAATAAATTTGTTTTAAATGCAAACGGATATATCCCTACCGTGGATATTCGAGTATTTTTTGATAATGGCCCAAGTGAAATTTTAGAAGCATCTGCAGCAGAATTACGTGAATTTTCTCTTCATCCTGAACGTTTGGAATCAATTATATCAACAACTTCCACTGAAACCGATATCGTACGATATTTCAATCGCCAATCGAGTAATGCATCCACAATCACTCAAAACTCTCAGAAAGTGGCTGAAGCTAAACTAAATTATATTATACCAAAAGAATGTCTGGAACTTGATTCAATAATCGGTGAAGGTGAATTTGGCTCAGTATACAAAGGTTGTCTGATTAGCCGAAACTTGGAAAGTAACGAAAATCTCCGCTGTAATGTGGCCATTAAGACACTTCGAGATGAACATTGTCGCACAAATAAACAAGAGTTTTTACGTGAAGCATCTGTTATGATACGCTTGAAACATCACTGCATTGTTCAATTGATAGGTATTTCCAAAGGAGAAACATTAATGATGGTGCAAGAAATTGTTCCACTGGGATCAATGTTAAACTTCATTCTAGACAATAAAGAAAAAATCAAGCCTAAATACGACCTCAAAGTTTGGGCATCTCAGATAGCATGTGGTAAACCATTATCTGATATACAGTTTTACGATTATAACTTTTATTTATTATTATTTATTAAAGGTATGCAATATTTGGAGTCGAATCATTTTGTACATAGAGATCTAGCCGCACGTAATATACTTCTGGCATCGCGAAACCAAGCTAAGATCAGTGATTTTGGTTTATCACGAGCTCTTGGATCAGGAAACGATTGTTATCAAGCTACACAAGGCGGAAAGTGGCCTATCAAATGGTATTTTCGTGAATATCTTTTAGAACTATATATACAAAAATAATAATTAAATATTTTAGGTATGCACCAGAAAGTTTTAACAACGGACTTTTCTCACATGCAAGTGATGTTTGGTCTTTTGGTATAACTTTATGGGAAATGTTTTCGTTAGGTGAACCACCTTATGGTGAAATACGAGGAGTAGACGCAATAAAACTTATTGAAAATGGACACCGCTTATCACAACCTATTTATTGCCCTGATCAAGTGTATGAAGTTATGAAGAATTGTTGGAATTATAAACCTAAAGATCGACCTTCTTTTCGTTATTTAACTAACTTTTTCGCAAAAGATCCTGACTATCAAAATATAATGGAACTAATCAAATCCGAACATATTAGTTGAAAATCAATATAAACGTATTATTTTAGTGTTAAGATAAAAATGTGCAATTATGTATTAAATATATATAACTTTTAATTGCTTCAGTAATTATACCATATTTTTAATAAATTCAAATAATTTGAAATTTTTAAATACTGTTTTTTTTTCTCTTACCATTCTTATTTAAACTTATTTATATATATACATATATACAAAGAAATATTTATTTTAATAATATTTCAAGGAAGTTGTTTTTAGAAGTTTATAAAATTTCCTTCAAACTATTATGGATAAATGATTAGATTTACCACACCAACTAAGACTATATGAATTTTTAATTTTTGCAGATAAATCGATTTGGTTGCGTATTATATTATATATGTGGTATGTAATATTTAAACTAACGCAGCTGCCAAGTACATATATATATATAAAGATGTATATCAATACACGCATTTGGGTAGTTTTATTCTCTATTAACTGCGAGATTTCTTCATAACCCCTCTATACGCCTTGACTGGATTATTGTTTATCACTTCATCATACTCAGCAATAACTGACCTCAGATTTGCATACCTCCCCGAGAAGCCTGTAACCATTCTGATATTTTATAACGCGGTGTTGGTAAGTCTGTCAGTTTTCGTAAATAATTTCATGGCTCTATTCTTTATGTATTTTTTGATCGGATCAATCTTGAGGTCTCTGAGGTTGTCATTCGTCCTAATGTAAATATTAAATAAATATAATGAAATAAACCTACAAGTGTATAGGATATTCAAGCTTTTTAATAAATCAAAAGGTAATTTTAAGCCAGGGAGTGTTGAGTGTTAAGATCTAATCACTGGAAATAACAAATTTTTATTTTCATTAATGCAAAACGGCTGAAGAATCGTTTTTGTTAATAAATGAGTTGTTAGTTTTTCTGAATTATAAAAAAATATATTTTTAGAAGTCGTAGAAATTTATTTTCTCCTCTTTATTTTGTGTATAAAATTTTTTTTTATTAATTTAAAAAAATTAATTATTTAACAAAATCTAACATATTAGTTATGTACTTAATTTAATGTTATGGTACATATATAATTTCATAACAAATATTTTTTTATTAAAAAACATAGAAAAATATATATTAATTATACATCGAAATTAATTCTATATCATTCACACGCTTACACGCCATTTATGGCTTGCTTTACGTTGTCCGTGGATACTAATTTTAGAGCGGTTATAATTCCATTTAAATTTTTTTCATTAAATGGTTTATTTTGCAATCCAGATACGACAGGTACCTCTTCATTATTTGGCATTATTATGTTTATATTATTTATTATACCCTAAATACAGAGAAATTTTATTATATCGATTTTGGCACTTATAAAAAAGGAAATATTATATACCTTTTCTACTTCAACGTTTAATATAATTTTATGACTCTTGTCCTCCACTTTCAAATACAGTTCTTTTTTCACATTAAACTTAGGCGTTCTTCCATACACCCAATCCCATGACCCAAACTCATTTCGCAAACTGCTAATCCCTGGGAACCATTTCTCAGTGGGATTTATCAACTGAAAACCACGTTGCTTCATTGTTTGAATATTACCACCGTCCTCTAGTTCAGTTGCGACAGTACGCAAAAATTCATAGCCCACGGCGGACAGAAGTTGAGATACATTAACAGTCCGATTGACATCACACAGATTTTTGATTGGAGAACGTACGGACGCAGTTGCATTTGTAACGTAATTCGCCTTAAGAGAAAAATTAAAAAAGTCAAAATTGGTAATGTGAATAAGTTTGTACTTTTATTCGGACTAACCTCTTCTTTAATAAGCGAGTCTCCCAAATTCTCCTTATTAGTGCTAGCCAACAACGTGCAATGATGATAAGCATTCGGGCGTCCAAGTTTTGCGGCAGTACCAGAAATCTAGAATAGTTTTAAGATCAAACATCAGTAAAGTTTAAAATTCTTGAGTACAAACTATAATATATAACTAGCAAATTGTAAAAAATAATAAAATTAAATCAATTTAAAAAGAGATAAGATAAGCACACCAATAAAAATAATGGCGAATTTATATTTATTAATAAATAAAAAATATATTTTTATGTTGTTCATATATATATATATATATAAAATACACTTTGTTTCTGCTTACTTTTTTATTATTGATAACAATATCATCGCGTTCGTTTATGTCTGCCTTGATAGCCCATTCGCGAAAGAGTGCGCGCGTCAAAATATTTAAATTGTATTTGCGATTATACCGCTCGCGAGGGGTGAAGAAAGTGCAATTAAGGTTGCCACGATCATGGTAGACGGCCCCACCACCACTGTTACGACGGGCAATTGTAATACCTTTGTCCATGAGTTTAGAAACATTTGCCTCGGTGAACGGATTTTGATGCCGTCCTATGACGACACAAGGTTCATTTGCCCATAGCAACAGAACATGATGATGACTAAAATCGAAATTCTTATAAAGCCAATCTTCCAATGCCAAGTTAGTGAATATGTCATATGATTGTGAGATAAACACCGATTTTTTTATGTCTGCATCTCTTATCACACTACTCGACTTTTTCGTTTGCTCTGCATTGACTTTATTTTCCGGTTTTGAAGCAGCTCCATGACTAGCAGCAGTTGAACTTGCATCGGTCGGTGTATCGTTCGATCCACCAGATACAATTGTTCGCCGAGCAAACCCATAAAACTGGTTACCTACGGCGCCACGGCCAATAATTCTTTGCAATATCATGTCAGCTGATGTTACGGAGATCAATTGATTTGTGGGTATGAAGGGTGCTTGAAGTGGGGGACTTGCGTTATCTGTCTTGTTTTTCTATTTTTACAGATTTTATTACTTTGTTTTCGTGTTCTTATTTGCTCGTACTCACACACGCTTATACAAATTTTTACACACTCGCAGGGAATTGGATTTTACAAATAAAATATATATTCATTTAAATATATGTATTTAGTTAATTTATTATGACTAGGAATTTAATTGCATCAACACAAATATGTATGTATTTAATCAAAGTTACTGCCTTTGATTTTTCGATTTGAAAGGTAAAATTGTTTTTTTTTTTCTTTTTTCTTTTTTATATGGAGCAGCAGTTGGAAAAAGTTCGCTGAAGAGTTTGAGGGGTTTTATTTTTACAATATTGTAATTACAAGGTCGTATAATGTTGTTAAACAGTTCAGTTGCTGATTTCTTCTATTTTTGTTAGATTTTTGCAATTATGGACACACAATTTCTATATTTAAAGATTTAATAAAAAATGTACATATTCTAAAGCCACATGGGTTTAATTTAAGTTCGATTATTAGTTATTTCTTTTACGTATATATGTATGTATATTATAGTGGGTAAATTAAATTGGTTAATGTTAATGGACTTTAGCACTGACACAAATTGGTTCTATCAGTCTCTGCTGCAGCTAAGGTTACAGATATTAGATACTCGTGTAACGCAATAGTTTGGTGTAACCACTTCCAGGTTTGATGTAGTCCGCTGACCCGTAAACGAAGTCCCAAACAATCTTTACTTAGGTTTTTATGCATTCCTTTGAAACCCATCCAAGAGATTTATAAACTTCAGCATATATTTTGCTTTTTATCGGACACTATTATTTAAATAATTTTATTTAAATCGAATTTAAAATAAAAGTTCTTTGTTATTCACGTCAAAAACTCGACCCGACCAATCGTTAAGAACTGAAAAATGTGAATAAAATTTGTGACAGTTTTGCGTCGAACTGGTGAAAACACGCACAAACACACTCACACTTTCTCATATGCTGAACGTTCAGCGATACACAGATACACAAAAACACACCAATAAATAATTGCATTGTGTATGTGAAATCCCATCGAGGAAAAATTGTCTAATTGGTGAGAAATTATAAGATGTAGCAGACGTAACTGCTCGTTTTATTATAACTACATAGAAAGCCGTATCTTTTCTCAATTATTCAATTATGTATAATATCAATATATATAGGTTAATATGTAAATGTAAAATACAATAACATCTAATATATCAGAATATTACATGTAAAATAAAATATATCAATCGAATGAAATTTCAATTAAACTTACTTTCCATGTGTATACACAACATCTGTTTATAAATTAATTTACTTGTTATCACTAAAATCTAAAAGAAAATCCTTTACATGAAGCTTTGATTGCTTAATGTATGCAAAAAACCAACTTTTCGATATGATGCTCTACACAGATATTAGTTTCATGCTAGATTTAAACCTTACCAGAAAATGGAAAGCTATAAAATGGAAAATGGATAACTATTACAATGGTTAAGTATAAGGAAGAAAATTAAAGTCTTTCACTGCATTTTCGCAACTTAGTTTAAATATGTTAAGGACTGTATATGTTATAGTTAGTTATAATTACACGATAAGTCCATTGTGATCGTGACGTCTTCATATCGATTAATATAACATATGCATTATAGATGTAGGTCGTACAAATTCTGGTTGTAACTTATTCCCTTGTTATATTCGTAATTGCGCAGCAAATAAAGGAGCATCCACACCTGTAAAAGTTCATTCGTTCGCAAACATTTGCTTTGATGTGGATGCATCTTAATAAATGAAATACTAAGGTTAAATACACGGTAACGACGGCACAGCTCCTCAGCTGGAATCAAAACATATAACTACTCTTAAAGGGTAATTATATACTGATTATATTTTAAATACAATTATATAAATGAAAAAAACCACATTTTATATGTATATTTAAAAATATACATATAAAAAAGGTCGTCGTAAAGGGTATTTCAAAATCTATTAGAGGCAATATTTTTGGACTGCTTGTGGATTTCATTAGACACTTAAGTAAATTTAAGCTAGTATTGTCCTTCTTAAGAATGACGAGCGGTTCTTAATCGTCTGAATCCAAGGTGTGAACTCATTAGCACCTGGAACCACAACCCAAACAACGTTTATTCCCTTACTGCACCTCCTTTTCTCTAATGATGTCTTCTCTAATGTATTTCCATGTTCTAACTTCCATATCAAGTTGAGCCACATTGATTTAGACTTCCTCCCGTCGAAATAAAAGGATTTATTTATCTTGACCCAGGATAGTTCGACTTATATACCGGTGGTATCTAAACTAAAACTGCACATAGGTTAGTATTTCCATAAATTGTACTCTATTAAACTCATAATGCTTAAAGTGAATTTAACTATTAACTATATATCAATTTAGATACACAGATAAAATATATAAAACACTGCACATTCAACAAATTTAAGTAAACTAATAAAATAAATAATTTTTTTTACCATTTTTTGGTTATGTAAATTTGACTTTATTTCATAACATCAGTCAAATTGATATTAAAACTTGATAATAAAGCTATATTGAGTTTGAAGTTTATAAAATTATTCAAATCATTTTACTCTTAAGTTTATCGAGAATATGTAAGGTCTGATTTTGCAGACTTAATACGAATCGTTTCCACTTGACACATCAAATATATTGAAAAATTGCGTAATAAGAAATTATTTCGATGAAAACATTCTGGGTCAAAATAACGGAAGAAATTAAATAACTTAATGATGCATTTTCTAGTCTGGACCACCGCGATTTATATAATCGATTTCATCAGCAGTAATGGGTTTACGCCAAAATCGTGGATGCAATTCCCAGTCTTCTATAGCAACGGAAGACGTGCTAAATATCTAAAACATAAGAACGTGTTAATAAGCAATTTTCAGCGATTTCAAATTTTTATATCATATATAAAAAGCTGAGATTAAATCACAACAAATCCGAAAACAAACATTTTCATTAGCTCCTGTACCACTCGCACTCGCCTGATTTGCTGCCGTAAGAGAAGTTTCAGGATTACCACCTATGCGAAATTTAATAAGTGGTACACGTTTAGAGGACAAAAACCTTATTAATGTACGTTGCACCATTTCTAACACTATATTTAATAATTATATTTTATATTCATTAAATACGGGTTTTGCTCCTTGTCAGCTTAGAACCATAAAATACAGTGCTGCCATTACAAAAAATTTCCATTTTGAAGTGACAAATATACACCTATTCCACTTTCAAGCATGACTTACAAATAACGTATTTTCATATATATAAACTAGTATGTTTTTGAAGAATTAAATGCCTAAAACATTTTATTATAATATATTATGTTATAAAAATTGTAAATCCACCTTTTAAAATTTGAACACCAATTTTTATTATAATAAATCAAATTCATCAGCTTAAAAAGTTATTTAAAAAAAATAGTGTGAATTAAATTTATTGTAATAATGTAACACTAGCTTGAATGTATTATTATTTACAAAAACATTGGCAAACAATCTTACCTATTAAATAATATAATAATTTCATATATTCATCGAAATTTATATTGAAAAAATATCTATATATTTATAAATAGTTATGTGCCTCTACAAACTGAGTAGTATTGAAATTTAACAATTAAAAATAAAAATATAATTAATTAATTTAATTATTCCACAATTAGTTCATGATTTTGTTCTAATATAAACACAGCAAGTGAATTTATTAATAAAACTTTTACATTAGAAAAATGTGCGAACATAACAGTCAAGTACAGCTTTGGATCAGTTAGTTAAGGAACGCTGATTTTGAGCTTCAAATTTGGCAGGGCATGAGTTTAATCTCTGGTACTTTCCAAGATTGCTGATGATACATATTTCGCAATACTCGAAACAGCTGTATGGTCAGCCAAAAATTTAATTAATTAAAAATATATAAAAAATAATTTTTGTTGTTGTAGTTCGCTACTTTTCGAAAATCTCTTTATAAATATTTATGAGAATTTAATATATATAATTTATATAGTATATAAACGAAACGGAAACATAAATAAATTAAAATTTTGTATACATACATATATTTGTTTGATACATATTAGTTTGATTGTTTGACAGTGCATTAACTAAAAAAACACTTATAAGCAAATATATCGAATATAGTAAACACAAAAATATATGAAATTGTATTTAGATGATTATATTATGTAAAATGATTAATAATAAATATACTTAAAATTGTTGCACTCGACATTTAGATAAATTTCTCATAAAATACATCCGTTGGTAAGACATATTTGCTTGAGAGTGTAAACTTTAATTATGTTTGAAGTTGCAAATGAATGCCGGACATACATTTTATTGTAATCAAATTGGCAAATCGTAGTCATCTTGAATCCAAATTGTTTACAAATTGTTTGGAGGATTGTACTTTGGTATTTTTTTTGCTTTTATCGCTTTTAAATCAATGTTCTTAAGTTAATAGAACGTACATATTTGAATCGCGCTACACTCGATTTTATGTCTGCTAAAATGCCTGTAGATATAAATCGCTTAAGTGACGGTTGGCTGGAGCTGGAATCTGACCCAGGCCTGTTTACATTACTTTTAGAAGATTTTGGTGTAAAAGATGTACAAGTTGAGGAAGTATATGATCTACAAAAACCAATAGAAGGGCCTGTGTATGGTTTTATATTCCTTTTTCGTTGGATTGAGGAACGACGAGCTAGGCGTAAAATAGTTGAAACTACAGCTGAAATATTCGTTAAAGATGAAGAAGCCGTTTCAAGTATATTCTTTGCACAACAAGTAGTACCAAATAGCTGCGCTACTCATGCACTGCTCTCAGTTTTACTTAATTGTAGTGAAACTGAATTGTATCTGGGAAATACGCTTAGTCGTTTAAAAGCCCATACTAAGGGTATGTCCCCGGAAAACAAAGGATGGGCTATTGGCAATACACCAGAGTTAGCTTGTGCTCACAATGCTCACGCTATGCCACAAGCTCGCAGAAGATTGGATCGTAATTCGGGTGCAGGCGTTTCAACAGGAAGATTTACGGCAGGTGAAGCATTCCACTTCGTCAGCTTTGTTCCTATAAACGGTCATCTTTTTGAATTAGATGGTCTGAAACCATTTCCCATGGATCACGGCCCATGGGAAGAGTGTGAAGATTGGACAGATAAATTTCGACGTGTGATGGCAGAACGTTTGGGTATTGCAACAGGTGAACAAGATATTCGGTTCAATTTAATGGCTGTTGTACCGGATCGTCGCATCGCGATAACACATAAACTTAAAATGCTAAGGACAAATCAGGCTATCGTTTCGGGCACATTACAAAAACTACTAAAGGCAAATGAAAGTGGTGAAACAAGTAGTGAATCCTGTACGGGCACAGATCAACGAAGTTGTTCACCATCACCGTTACTTGAAGCAAACGCTTTCACAGTACGAGATTTGCAATCTTTATTGAAAAATTTAGATTCAGAGATTGCAATCAATGAACAACATCTTAATGATGAAAATGATAGGCGTTATATGTTTAAAGTAATTATGATTTTTATATAATAACTTACATCTCAATTTATACTTATACATATATTTCTCTAGGTTGACGATTGCCGTCGCACGCATAACTATGACGAATTTATATGCACATTCCTCTCTATGCTAGCTCATCAAGGCGTTCTTGGTGAATTAGTAAGTCAACATTTATTACCTTCTAAGAAAATCAGCGGCCAAAGTCGCATCACAAAACAGAATGCGTCGAATGCAACAACACCGAAACAAAAAAATGGAAAATCACCTAAAGCACCTGGACGTCGAAGAAAAGGCCGAAATAAATGCAAAAAACGTAAATGAATATTCTCTTTATATTTAAAATAAACTTAGATATTTATTTAATTGAATTTTTTTTATTTCATAAAATGATTTCTTATTAAAGCAAAAAACCATTTAAATTATATAAATAATTTTATATATTTATGGATTTTGTTTATATTAATATGAAAATCAACATTATAATATATATATAAAAGGCAATAGTTGTTCGTTTCAATATAAAAAACTCATTGAATATAACTTATAGTATTTCACGTTCGTTTTTTCAAAAACATAATTTGTAAAAGTGGGAGTTTCATGAATTATTTTATTGTTTGCAGCATTTGCAAAACCAATATTCCAAGAAACATTTTGTTTTAAGTGTTCACTAGTTACATCGCGTGAATGTCGTTATATTAAAAAAACTTAGTCCATTGTCTAATTACAATACAATTTTTAAATAAACTTTGAATTACTTTTTAATAATAAATGTATGTATGTTTCATATATGGGTATTATTTAGAGTTAAGTTGCAATGTGTAAAACGTTCTAATGTTGATGAGCCGTATTAATTGTTCGCTTTCATGTTTTAACTTATAGATTGCTTTTTATTTATCCTAAAATTTTAATTTGTTTTTTTAAAAAGGGAATTATGGTCTAGTAAATACACATGAAGAGTTGTTTTAATGCATATGTTTACATTGAAATTTCGATTGATTATATCCTAAAAAGAATTTTTGATATCCTTTAACATACTCCATATAACTTAAAAATCATTAATTGTTTGTTCTATTTAACTCTTCGCTGCGCTTAAATTTTGAACATTATTATCTTCTGTTGATTGTTCAGTCTCTTTATTTAAGCCATCTAAAACATTGGCACCATTAACTATTTTCTTAAGTGTTTCAGTTGTTTCGTCACTCTCATTAGTCGTCCTAAGGTGCTTTTCGATTTCAGTTTTTACTCTGGCAATATCTTTTTGACTAAAGGAAATAAAATCTATGTATTTTATAATTCAGAATAAAAATTATATGTAAGTACCTGATTTGAACAAACAAAATACCGTTAATTGTGTTCAACATATCCAGTACTGAGCCCATAGTTGGCTGCTGAATATGTATTGGAGGTAAACCCGTTGTTAGTTTGCCATTCGTATATATATCATTCATTTTACGTTGCAAGAGCACTGCTTGTTGTGTTAAAACTCTAAGACATTCTGCAGATTCTTTGGTTTTTTCATGATTTTCTCCCAACTGAAGCAATAATATATATAATAAAATGTATTATACCTTAAAGTCTTAATAAATAAAATACCTGTGACTTATAAATTGAATATGTCTCTTTTTCATTATTCAATGCTGCACGGAAATCGCCCATACATGACTGAGTTCTGGCAACTAAGTGATAGCTTACAGCTACATGCATTGATTTTTCTCCAAAATATTTAATGTTTAATTTTAAAGCATGTTCGATGAAGCGCAACGAAAGTTCATATTCACCAACAGCATGCAAAATTAAACTTATGTTGCTCTAAAAATAAATATAAACCAAATCAAACCAATTGTTCTAATTTTTATTTCCAATAGGATACATACATCTATAAGTCCCACTTCTGGATGATCTTCACCGCATATTAACAATAGCAAGTATCTTGCACGATACAATAATTTTAATGATGTGCTAACCTGGCTATTGGCAAAGCAATAAAGTGATAAATGGGTCTAAGAAATATAATAAAGAAACTTCAATGAATATATTAGTTTAAAATTGAGTAATAGGACAAAATTTACATATTCCAATATTGTGCATGGGTGATCAATTCCATTTACGCGTTCGCTCATTATTACTGCACGCTGTTGTATTGTTAATGCTTCCAAAGGATCACCAAGCAAATAACTCAATCGAGCCAGCATACGTAAACATGATCCATTTTCAGGATGCATTGCGCCGAAAACATTGTTTAAAAGATTCAGAGCCTCACTGATAAGTTCATATCCCTCCTTAAAGTGTCCTTGTTGTATTTTGGATTGACCAGTAGTGTAGAAATTATAAGCATCTGAAGCTCTGGGGCTTATATGCTTCACCACTGGGAATACATTCAAAATATCTTCATCGGTGAATATAGGTTTATTGCGAGAATCGAAATTATATTCTCGTAGAAGCACTTGAATACCAACTTTCAAACAAAATGCTCTCATTAAACTTATTCGTTGTATGGCATATTTTTCTACTAAACATTCAATGGTATCGCATTTTAAATCATAGTCCCAATATGATTTAGCTTCCTTCTTTATTTGCTGCCACAAAGCTTTTGGAGTCAGTAATTGCCAATCGCTATTGTTCAATAATTTAGTTCTATTTTTGCTCTTATTTTTGTTGCGCTTATTTGATTTGGGATTGTCTTCGGTAACAGAAATATTACCAACTGATCCTTGGCTCGAAGTAAGCAAGCAGTTTAAGAAATGACTGATGGCAGATGATAAATGCATCACATCTGCATTTTGCATATACGGATAATAAATATGTTTCGCAGCCCGTAAAATTAATTCCATTACAGCTATGCGATGTATATAATCCATTTGTGATTCATTAGCAATTGTATTAATTACTTTTCCTAGATACCTGAAAAAACGTTATGTATATACAATTTCATATCACACTATGCAAAATATATAAGTTACCTCACGTTGATACCATGACTGTGCAACGCTTCTGTTATACTGGTACCATCCATGGGAGGTGATGTATGTGTTTTGTATTCTTTTACAAATGCAGGAATTTGTTTTGTCACTAGGAACTCAGCAGCATCTTGAACAAGTTTTTTTTGTTTTGATAAAGAATTCGAACTATTAGAGTCATCAACGTGCCGTATTCCAGGAGAAAACACATCAGGATTAAACCGGAAATCAAATTCCTTTTCTTTCAATGAGCCTACAGCTGCACAAGCTCGCTTGACAACTTCAGCTGCTTGCTTTTCATCTGCTGTGGCCACATTTGTTTGAGCTTCTCTGATCGCATCGCAAGCATTTTCAACTGCTGTATTTTCACTCTTTTCTCCGTTTTCAGAATTTAAGTTTTTGGTAGTATCGCAAATTTCTTTATTTTCAACAGGTTCAGAATTATTTGGTTCAGATGTATTTGTTTTACCGTCATTAATGTCGGTCTTGTTTTTATTGACATTTAGTTGTTGCAAATGGGTTGCAGCATTGCGAATGAAGCTAACGTATCTGTCTTCAATGAACGCTTCTAACAATTCTTGCCTCAAGCATGAGAGTTTGTGTTTATGTTCGATTGGGAATCCAATCGATTTTAATTCAGAACTCAGTTCAATATCATTCAATATAAGAAAATTAACGTCGGGAGGAAATGTTCGAAGTAAATCTAAAATATAATGGCGACCATCATTACCTATTATACCCTTGCATTCTACTGACGAACAAAGTTCAATTTTCTCATCTCGTTCATTCAAAACTGAATGTGGCAAAATTTTTAAGTGTTTTCCTGCCTTTTGTAAAAGTTCCAAGTATTTTGGATGACTAAGTACTGTTTTACCAAAGTCTATTGAGCCATATACAACTGATTGCTCTTGCTCCCTCTCTAAAATTCCAGGAATAATAGACTGAGCTGTGACTCTGTAGCCACGATAGTCTACAACGACAGTACCAAGAGTATAAAGCCCTTCAATATCGACTGCACTGTATACACGTACTCCATGTAAATCATTTCGAGGAGCTACAAAAGCCGCTACATCGCCACCTAATTCTTTATAATGGTCGCGTACATCAAACCCTAATGAGAAAAATATATTATTCCAAATGAACATTTGCATTTTGGGATCTTCGCCAGGATTGATGGCGAGCACATTTCCATCGATAACAGCCATTGCACCACGTGTAGCAGCAATAACAAAATCTCCATGCACTTTAAATATGGCTCGTTCACGCAGCAAACGCTCTGGCAATGTTTTACGAGGAAGTTCACGAGTAGTCTGCAATTCTTCATTCCAATCACGCGTCTGTCCCGGAATATGCTCCTCATAACTAAAATATTTATTCATAAATAACTAAAATTTGAGTTCTTTAATTTCAACATACCCAAGTTTAGAAGAGAATGCATCCTCAGCCCGTATAGCATCCACTGTATGGTCCTGAGGAGGAGCTGCCCATTGATATATTTGATAAGGAGTAGCAACGCGTTCAAAAGCATGACGCAAAGTCCGTTTCTTCTGCATTTGCTGAAAAACTCTCTTAAAATTAGGAGATATTTGTGAAAGTAAATCAATTAAGGAGTGACTTAAATGACTTGGACTATCTGGCTTTGGATTAAAAATTTCATCAGTGCACTGATTTATATAGAAACCTTTTGGACATGCAGATATGTGAAAACGTTTGTCTTCCATTGTAATAACGTATAAATACATTAAATCACCATAAAGTTTTCTTTGGCCAGGTGGAGGATTCCATGCCGATGTAGTCAAAACCTTCAGAGCTTGTTGATTTTTAAAATTTTTAATGCCCGGTTGTAATGGAAGCAATGGTGCTTCTTTTGCTCCCGGTATAATAAATTCTGGTGGTGTACAATCAACAGAATCAGGTCGTGATTTTTTCTTTTCCATTAAATCGCCTTGTGTTATTTGATGCAAAAATGTTAAAGAATTACATTCCACCCCGTTGTAGGCATCTGCATTATCAAGACTTTTTAATAAGTCTCGTATATGACGTACATGAATTCTAGCTTCACGCATCGTGTAAGGTTCTTCCATTACTTTTATCGTGGATCCATGTTTCAAACCTTCAATTGATTTTAGCTCTGCAAAATTGTCTAATGTAACACCATTTAGCTGCAATGAGAAACATGTTCGATGACATGTGTCTTCACGATCCATAAGTAACTGATGTATTTCTTGTACAAGTTCCATACTAGATAACTGAATGGTAAGCATTTCAGCGCCGGGGCTTTGAATGTTAATAGAAATTCCAGCGTCGTGTAAAACATCTAAATCAATGCTTTCTGAGGATGAATCTTCACCTTCCGAAGACTCTTTTTTTAATATATCTACTTTATCTTTATCATTCAAAGAATTATCATTCTGTTTTGATTCATTTTCAATAGATATATCCGTATTTGTGCTGTCGACTACATTTGCATTCGTATCTGAAAGCGTTTCAGCTTTATTTGGTTTATCAATAGCGTGTCCATTGGTTAGATGAGCTTTTTTATTGCCTTTCAAATTTTTTCCTAAAACAAAAAAGATAACATCAATAAACTTTTACAAATTCATTACAAAAAATTTTATTTTAAGTATCTGATTCCATGGGCCAAAGAAAAATAAACGAAGGGGATTGGTTTCATTTTAAAAATTAACTAATAGGAACTAATAAAACTATTTTTGACAGTCATTAGAATGAATCTCAATTCTTTGTCTCACTTTATAGAAGAGTTTTTAGTTCACTGAATAACATTTCAAGTCATTCCAGAGGACTTTAAAATTATAATTCCAAATAAATACAACTTTAATTTGTTTTTTTTTTTTGTTATACATATTATTAGTGATTTCTTTTTCCTATTACATGTCTCTAAATAAAAACAAATTCTACATCTTTTGATACAGTCTTTTTTAAGATCTTTCGTATTACCATAAGAGAAGTTCGGTACAGTTAAATATTAATAGGGATAAAATTAAACATATTTCTATGAGATAAGGTAAGGTAAAGTATTAGATTTCTGGTTATTTGCGAATATATTAATAAGTACTCTATAAAGACGATACAATAGAAAAGAAATATATTAAAGTAATCGCCTTTAAAATAAAGAATAAAGCCTTAATAACTCGTAATCTTGTATACATTACATAACGATCTTTAACAAACATTAATTTACATAACTGTAAACAATACTAACATATAAATATGGTTCCATAAGCGGTCAGAATAGGTGAAGTGAAGGGAAGAATAGGTGGGTTTTAACTATTCTCACGGCGTTTCTTTTTTTGTTTGAGAACTTTTTAAATCTTTGCAAAGACTTAAAATCTTACAACAAAAACTATTTTAATTACAATAAAATAAAGGTTTATACATTATAAATTTAGGACAACTAAAATTTTCTAACAAAGTGAAGTGCGTCAGATAATAATATTCGGTTTAAGATGTAGTTAGGTTCACAGCAGCCAAGTGTAATTCGTTATTTCCATTGGAGTTTCATCGTGGAACAAAGAGGATTACATAACAATTACACTTTACATAACAAGTAAAATAAAAAAAGTATATCAGCTCTGTAGTATAAAGCAGTTTCGCCTCTTCATATAGAACACTTTAGACCTTCTTTGGAACAGTTTTGTTCTAGTGAGTAACAAAACTTATTCCAAAATAATATTAAGAAGCTCTAGCGTCTTGTAAGTGGTTAAGTTTTGGGCTTATAGTTTATAATGTCATCAAGTCAAACCAAATACTTTAACATATATAATTTAAAAATTTAATTATCAATTGAGGTGTATATATATATGTGTGTATAAGTTTTTAGTACGCAGAAGAAAAATCAATTATGAATTTGTTATTTAATGGAAATAAATATGCAAATCAAAAGTTTATGATGAAATTTTAACTAAGATTACATATTAAAAGATTTATGAAAATGTTTGAAAAATCGATGCATTCAATAATTATTTGATTGTGATATATCCTTTAATAATAACAAATGTTATCTTCCACTTCCTGCACTTTTTACAAGCAAAACACGTGCGCTTCTTGTAGGTTAAAAACAAATACATTATCTCTCTGAAACCGGCATATTTGTTTTAGATTTTAAAATCTACCAAAACCAAATAAAGAACAAATAAATCACCAAATTAATCGAACTCCACAAGAGAAGATATTTAACAATTTCTAAATCCATGTTTTACACGCGGCTAAACAAAATCGAACCGAACCACACTGAGAATAGAGTTACGTAACGACTGTTATGTGACTTTACTTTTCTGATTAGTTTTGCTTTTCACTGCTTAGAGATATTTATCAGATATTTTTTCATATTTAAAATATAAATCAGTTGAAGTATTTTCTTCAATTAATATATTTTATTTATAAGACATCCTTAGTAGAAACCATGGGATAATTGTTGGTTATTTTCCACATCTGCGCCACCGACCACATAAGCAATAGTAATGGCAACGTACCTTTCTTTTTAGTAATGGTCTCAGGATCAGCAGGTACAATCCCATTACCGCACTCGGCACCATTTTCCGAAACATTATTTTGCTCCAATTTACCAGTGTTTTCCAGAGTCATCGTTCTTGTGCTTCCTCGAGATGTTACACAACTCAAATTTATTCGTTAATTAAGACAGATTCTGTGCTTGATTTGTTTTTATTAATACCAAAAATTTTGTTTTTATGAAATATTTTTGTCCATATTATTTGTTTTACAACCGTAAAACATATATTATATATTATTTTCTATATTTTATATTTATGTTTATAATTTTACTTAACCGCACTCAAACCGAAGTTCACAACCCGCATGCACGGAATACGCGAAACGAATAATAATACTTGTCACATAGAATTCTTTCATTTTCTTCGCAGCTGATTTGTTCAGTGCAGTGTGACCATCCGCATTTACAGCCAAAGCAAAGTTTTTTTTTGGTTTATTTACTTGAACAACGTAAATCCGATTTTAAGATATCAGAATGGATATAAAATCCATAAATTAAATTCATCCTTTTTGTTTTCAACAATGACATAAATATAATTTACATTACTTCATAAAATAGTTTTTTAATAAAATTTATGTCAATAAAAATATATGGTATAAGGGTTAAGTATAATACTACGTTTACATTGTGAGATTAGGTTTAATCTCCACCGTTTACATTATATATTGGAGATTAATTTTGACGTTTCTCTTGTTGTGTTTTGTATTGTGTGTTTGATATATTTATGTAAATAAAGCAAATAATAACAATTTTGTACAAATAAATTGTAATATAAATTTAATAAATAGATTTACCATATAACAATAATTTAACAAGTTTTAGTTATCAATATCTACATAACTATTATTAAAGAAATTTGTTAAAAATTTACTTCCTTCGGATTTTGACATTTCTTTTCCAATTCTTCTAAGATCGTAAAAAATCTACGATATAAAGCCATTTGCAGAGTTGCACAGAAAAATAAGCACCATTTCTAAGGAGATTAAAAATTAATCTCGACCAAAAGGAGATTAACTTTTGTATGGGAAATCTAAGATTAAACAACGAGATTAGTACTTTAAGCTCGATTATTGCTTTAATCTACTTTTAATCTCACAATGTAAACGCCGTATTACTCAGTAGGTCTGTTCCTCAAGCTACTCGTAGCAAAACTCAAGTAACACACAAGTAATGTACAAATTAATGGCGTAACACAAATAAAGTGCCAAATTTCGCTCTTTACATAGATTTTCATGGAATAGCTTTGTGTAAAGTCTGGTGAGAACACCAGTGCCGCGCAAATAAACAATACAAATATTTAAATTGAAACCAAAACAACTGATTCACACATCAACACAAATTTTATTTGAAATAAAATGTACGAGTCAAGCCTGTGTATCATTTTGAAATTTCAACAGGGATGTTACATGCTCTCAGATGCTCTCATCTACTCAAAAATTTGTTGGTGGAACGCACAGTGTTACTCAAAGTTACTACAAATAGCTCGTGGAGTCGGCCTAATATGTATATGTTCGAATGATGCATTAATTCTAGCAAGTTGCTATATTCGAAGAAGTGTTGTTATTATAGGGACGTACTGTGCACTTCAAAACTGAAATAAATGGTTTTGAAAATGTATTATTCTTAGCACTCACCATGTTAATATTAACAAATAAATAAATAAAATTCTGACCTTTACTCTTATGTCTCTACTAACAAATTTGTCATATATGAGTATATAAGCAATCTTAATCTAGATATATATTCATATTATGTACCTGAGAATTAGTTTATTCGGGGTCCTTTCTAAACATTAATCTTTGCTGTTTAATTGTCAAATTATTAATCGGTTTTATAAAAGGTTTACACCCTGTTTTCGTCTGTATGGTCTAAAAACAATATTTGGTTGTACATTTGTTTTATATTCTAACTAAAATCATGTCAGTTATTAAAAACTTGATTGATGAACCTGAAAGAAGTGAAGATGATGCGAAGGACAAGGAGAAAAATGAACCGCGTCCCATTCTAAAAACAGCAACTGACCTGCAACGTTTAAAATTGGAGAAATTGATGAAAAATCCGGTAGCCTATATATAAACAAAATAATTTATTTTCTCAATAATATACTTGTTTGTAGGAGAAAGAAATTATTATTCCAGAGATGCGAAAAGAAAAAGATTATATGAACTCCGTTCCTACATTTGTGCGTAATGTAATGGGTTCTAGCGCTGGTGCAGGTTCTGGCGAATTTCATGTATACAGACATTTAAGGCGAAAGGAGTATGCACGTCAAAAAACAATACAAGCGAAGAGCATGAAAGAACAGTTGGATCAAGAATACCATGAAAAATTAGAAAATAACCGTCGTATTGCAGAAGAAAAAACCGCTAAGAAACGTGCTAAACGTTTAAAGAAGAAAAATAATAAAAAAAATAAAAAAAATTCTTCACATAGCACAGAAAAACAAACTCAACTCCCACCAGAAATAAGTGATGATTCGAGCGACAATGAGTCGATACAAGGCGAAGAAAATTTAACAAATACAGATAAGGTAGACTTAAGTTATCCTAATGATTCCACTGACATCAACGAAGAAATGAAAGCAAATGATGAACTTCCTAAATTGGACAATTGATCTCTCAAATATGAAAATTATGACGTTTTTAAGAAACCTTTTTTTTTTTTGAAAATAAAACTTCAATAACAACTGAAGTAGAGTTAATATAAGCGTTAGTATTGTTATTCCCATATGTACACTTAAAAATAGAATAAACAAATCTTTAAGCAAAACCTTTTTGTAGTTACCAGTTTTGAGTTCAATATACATATTTTCATAATACAAACAAAATAAGGTAATACTTTTTATATAATTTATTTTTGCAATCATAAAGCTTAATCAATAAGACGTGTGCAGAAGCTGTTCCAAATATGTTTAGTAAATAACTATATATGCTGTAATATATTTTTTAATTTTACTTTCACGTTAATCATTATTTATTAATATTAGAGAACGATCATTGCAATGCTCAAACACATGAAAGAAGTTGTTGAAATGTCAGAATCGATAATAAAACAAAATAAATAAATGGAGCGAATTTCTTTATTTTTCAACGTTTAATATCTCCATTTTGTTTAAAAGACTTATTGCAAATTATTACTAAAACTATATTATAAAATAACTTAAAATAAATTATAAAATAATGTTTTGCTGCATTTGGGTTTTAATGCAAAGGAAAACTTGAATGTAAGCATTTATATGTGAAAATAATTAAACGCATGCAGATCCAATCTACAAAGTCACAATTTGAATAAAAAAAATTTAAGGTAGGTAATTATTTATTAATACGCTATGATGAAATTAAAACGAACAAAAATAAGATACGTGAATGTGTTTAAAAATTTTAATAAGAAACAAAAAACAAATATCAAAACCACTAATATTAAATAAAGAAGTTCTAACATTTTTTCTCGTGTCTTGAGCGGTAGTTCTTGTAAAGTTCATAAAGTGATGTAATACAATTATTAACATACAAAAAATCTTTCAATGTTTTGTTTTTGCTATTTCTGTGAAATATATTTTAAGTATGTAATTATTTAGATTTAAGATAGTTCGCCAGCTTTTGTTTTAACCATATTAAAATAGACATCCGCGGCAATATTATGCAAATTAAATATTCAAGTTAAGATTCAAATGTTATATGATTGTAATGTAATAAATCCATTAACCACCAATACCATCTCATTTTAAAAATAATAATAAAAGTAAAGCTGGATTTTAAAACAATGTTATCTACTTCAACCACGTTAATATTTAGTTAAGAATTATTTAATAAATCATAATGTATAATGTATTAATTTTTAGTTGACACTTCTTGGTTTAGATGGTATAAATAGCTTTAAACAAGTGGTGGAACAGCAATTTAAGCTCTAAAAGACAAATTTCATATCTTAAATTTTAAACAACTACCACCGCAGGTAGCAAAACAATATATCCTTATCCTGTTTAATTTCAAAACTAATTTTGCCTATTTGATTTCTCTATTTGCACATTATGCATATTATGTTTGTCTAACTGCGTTTACATATAATAATTAGTAGAGTTGTTTCATTTAAATTGTAATCAATAAATATTTAAATATAATATATATATATATGTAAATTATTATAATGTAATAATTGAAGAATATTAATTAGCATTAGCTCTTTTGTGGTTTATTTTATTGTGGCTTTAAAGTTATATTTTAACGGCATTCCCATATTTTAACTGTTTGATCAACACTGCCAGAAATAACATATGGATGTGTTTTATGAAAATCTAATAGAACAAAGTTATATAAATACGTTTTGTTATTTACAAAAAAAAAAAAAAATCTTACCAACTGATGTACAAAAATGTTGATGAGCATAAAGAGTTTTCATGCATCGCTTGTTGCGTAGATCCCAAACTCGAATGGTTTTATCATCACTAGCTGAAATTAAATACTTTCCTCCCGGATGGAATGATAAACCTCTCACCCAATTATCATGACCAGTAAGAGTTAAAAGGCAAAGACCAACGCTAACATCCCAGATCTAAAAAAAAAAAAACAAAAACTGATTTATCTTTTGAATTACATTAATAGGGCAATTGTGGCAACAAAAATCTTGTGAAAGATCGTTTTAAAGATTCTTTGTATTCTGGCAGCGGTCTTGTGAAAGCTATTTACGGTCTTTTGCAAGACCAAATTAAACTAAATTCATTTTTAATACGACGCAAACGTAAATGTATTGACTAACTATGCTGTCTTCAAAAAAAATTTAAAATATATATTCACATATGTATAATGTAGTATATATATTTTTTAAATATTTAAAATGTAATATTTTAATATAAATAATAATAATGGAACATACATCTTGCTCATTTCCATTACATTTGTATTAAAATTCAATTATTTATTCGCATGCGGTAGTAATTGGTAGATGTTTTTCATTTCACCACAAAAGAAATAGAATTGCAAATGATAAAACTTTTTTTTAAAGACTTTTGTGACAGAATAGCTAAAATCTTACAAACGGTCTTACGGTCTCTGTTACAGAGATCTTACGCAAGACTTTTAACGATCTTTGCCAGAATTAGCATGTAAAAGTTGTGCAGAATATATGTAGTCGATATTTTCAATTTTCATTATGTTAAATCTAGTTTAATCTATATTAATAATATGCTAACATACACGTATTGTTTTATCTCTGGAACCAGATGCTAGAAATGGGCCTTGATGATGGCCTTTTTTGTTATCTGCACCAGCCGCTTCATTGATGGCTGATGTGGCGGCCTCTGGAGCCCATGCAATACACTCTACAGTGTGATCATGATCGCGTAATTCGACCTAAATTTAAAAAGAAATTTCAAATACTTTACTATTCACCAAAATTTGTGCATATATTACTTTGCAGTCTTTTGAATTTGTTAGCCATACACGAATTGAGTGATCGTTTGAGCATGATGCAAAAATACCTCCATCTGCATGTACACGTACCATTCGCACCCATTCCCTATGTCCTGTGTACGTTTTAATGCAATATCTAAAAATATTTATTTGATATACAAAAATATTTAACAAAATTAATGGTTTCAACTTACCCAGTAGCTACTTCCCACATTTTTATAGTTTTGTCTCTTGATGCAGACAGTACAAAATCTCCAGCTGGCACAAAAGCTACAGAAGAGACATTGTGATCATGTCCGTGCATGGTTTTTACACATTCATAACTCTGTTGGAAATCCCACAATTTTATAGACAAATCTGCACTGCATGAGGCTGAATAATATAAATAATGAAAAAAAATATTTATAGTTTTAAATTATTTTTCAGTACCTAAAATCTTTCCTTGAGCGTCAAAAGCTATGTCTTGCACTGAATCTGTATGTCCTTTCAAACTTCGTTCATATTCCCCGGTTTCAAAATCCCAAATCTTTATAGTTGCATCTTCTGAAGCTGATACCATAACCCCAAATATAGGATGAAATACTACCTACAAAGTAATTAATTATATTTTTATTTAATTCGGGATAAAATTGTTGTTACAATTAATACACTTACTCTTGTTATACTTGCACGATGACCTGATAGTGAAAATTTCTCTGGTGGTCTGGGTATCCATTCACCAGGACTCCTTTTAGCTTTAGTTGGAGCTCCTTCAATTACTTCTTTTTCAGCTTCTGACAATTTAGCCTCTAGTTCCATAACTTTTTTCTGCAATCTAATTACGGAAGTCCACTTTTTTTCAAGTAATCCTCCAATTTTCTTTTCGCTTTCTGAGTTTAAGTCTGCTTCCTTACGAAAAGCCTCGAGAGAATCCGAGTATCCATTGCTACTCAAATAATCGGCAATCGCTTGGTTACTAAATACATATATTTTACATTAAACATATAAATGTATTACACGTTACTACTTACAGCTCCTCGCGCTGCCTTTGAGACAACACCATTTTCATGCTGTTCTCAATTATTTCTTCTTATAAATGAAATATCTCTGTAAATATTTCTATCAATTGAAAATAATTAGTGTTATTGTTTCTATTAAAATAACAAATCATATAGTGCTCAACACTTTAATTATACTAAAATATAAACAAATACAGGGCATATATAGAAATATTTATGATATTTTAATATCATTAATTTATTTTTACATTATTTTCAAATCATGATTTAGACATAAACAACTTAATTACTGTACATTCGAATAGGTCTACAAAAACAATATCAATAAGTTCTATTCGGGTTAAGACAACAATACAAAACTGTAAAATAGTTTGCATTTTAGATCCCAAATAGAAAATTCCTTTTTACAAGAATATTTATTTCTTTAATAAAAATATGAAAGCACATATAAGCTTGCAAGTAGACCAAGAAGGCTTAACGAAACTTATGGATGATTGATTACTAAGTGCATCGTGTGGAATATTTAATTTCAAAGCTCCTCCATGGCTAAGCAAAGTAGTAAACTATATGAAGCCAAATTATTATATGAAATAAATGTTTCTCAGCAATTTTTTTTTAATTTTGACGTATGTCTACATTTATTTGAACTATAAAAAGTTTAGTTTTGGAAATTGCCTAATAATATTTACCACATAGAATCTTGGTAATGGAATTTCAACATTTCTCAATATAATAGAAATTAATTAACTTAATATACAATATATAATTCATACCATATATAAATACTATTTAATTAGACTGATTCGGTATGAGTATCTTCTACTTTATAAAGAGGTAAAAAACCGATTGGTACAAAAATAAACATTTTATGAAATTTGTTATAGATTAAGCCGTTTCACCTGTTTGTTAGAAATCCTATTTAAATATTTGTTTAATATGAAATGACAAAACTTAAAATAATTTGATATTTATTGATATCAAAGACTCAATAAGAGATAAATATCCTTATTTCTAGCATAAAGTAATTTAGCAGCGATTTTGCAAAATTAATATTAGAATCTGTATTATATGGACTCAAAAATTTTACGAATAGCATCATATATGACGTTGGGCTATATGAAATTTATTAATCTAATAAAAATGAGAATACTTTATAGATATTCTTTGATATCAAAGACTCAATTAGAGGTAAATATACTTATTTCTAGCATATAGCTAGCGATTTTACAAAATTCTAGCTAGAATCTGTATTATATAGACTCAAAAATTTTAAGAATAGCATCATATATGATGTTGAGTTATATAAAATTTCTCAATATATTAAAAATGAGAATACTTTGCAGTTTTAAATACAAATCCATCGCACTGCTAGTGATTAACTTAACCTTTCGAAAAGATTTTTAAAATCAGAATTGTTAAGTCTCCAATCAAATGAATTAAATTTTAAATTTATTGAATTTTGTCAAAGTAACATAATACGTTTGCAATTTCAGAATTAAACCCTAATAAAAAACAAAAAAATTATTTAAATAACTTTATAAATTTTGGGTATCACAGGCAGTAATAAAAAAAGGTTTATTGATTTAAAATATGTTTTGCAGCTTTGTTTTTGCTTGGTTAACCAGTATGCGGATATGGAACTTAAGAATTGAAATTTCTTAAATATAAATAAAATCATAATTTTTTAACAGCCTAAATTATTATTATAAATCAGTACATATGAAGGTGTCTTATCTTTTAATATAATGCATTCATTAAAATAAATTAGCTATAAAATTCAAATTTAATAGTACTAATGATTAATATAGAAATATAAAATGTTAAGCTAAGAATTGCATTTTAAAAATATTTAAAAAATCTATCATTCACTGCTTTGTACACGGAACAGTAAAATAAATTAAAAATTTTCGTATAACCAGTATTTATTTACATATGTGAATGCTGAATTCTAAGAGTATTATTCGCAGAAACAACTGATTCAAACTTCTTAAATATCAGAATTTAAATCTGAACACAAAAAACATATTTAAAGCTTAAGTCAAGTCAAAAACATGCTTGACGTACGTAAATAAAAATAAAAACATCAAGTTTTAGAAATGCGAAAAATCGATGACAGTGAAGTCGTTTGATTATAAAGATGTGTCATCATAGTTGAACAAATGACATATGTATGTATGTACGCCTATATTGATGTGTGAATATGTACCCACATATGTACACATAAAATCAAATGATATTAATAATAATTGGTAACATTGCACATTAACAATTGGCATATAATTACACTATTTACGTAGTTTTAATCTAGTTCTGATGTTTGGTTCTGCATATATAAAAATTTTATAAAACCAAATTAAATATGTACATAAAAATCTTGGTGCAAGCAATTAAGCAAAAGGCACAGTTACGAAAGACGGCCATCTTGAAAGGTCGAAGGCACAAGCAGCAAATATAAAAACATAGTAATTTTCTTATTTAATCACATTAAGAACATTTTTCTTAGTAACATCGTTCACTTATTAAAAATTCATATTTGATACATATGTAACAGAACGACACTTAATACTTTGTTTTAACTCTTTTGAAATTGAATAACTTTTTTAAAGTAAATCAAGAGATTCAGAATTATTTAAAAACTTACTAGTCTACTTACTATTGTTAAGGATTAGTTAATTGCTTAAACAATAAAAATAAAATTATCCAAACTACGCAAAAATTGTTTTTTCGAGCTGACTACTAACTTTAATTGATTTTCTAATACTTTTCTGTTCCTCGCACACACAAATTCCAACCAGCCACTAAACAAGTACGACGAATATCTCATTAAAAGAATAAAAGAAAAATCGCGTACCGATTTTCACTGTGATTCTTTTGATGCAACAATTTTATAAAATCAAACTTTATCACTACCAATTGATACAGCAATGTTAAATTTTTTCAATTATAATAATATTATTTATAAATAAAAATATAGGTATTTTTTTGTTTGTTGCAGTAGTTATATATTTAGTAAACAATATTGTAATAATTTATTTTAGCCAAAAAATAAATACAGTCAAACTGCTATAACTCGAACTTCTATTACTAGAATTTTCTGTAATTCAAACTAAATAGGCTGTAACAAGGTTTAGAAAGCAAATTACATATAATTACAGAAAAATTCTTTAATTCATTTTTTTGCAAAATAGTACTTTGAGTTATTGAAGATTAACTATATCTTTGTTAGAACAGATATCAATAAAAACTTTAGCTTTTTTTTATAATTTTTGTGAACATCTATATTTTGCGAACAATGAAAGTCAAATATATAATCGATATGTATATAGTCGCTTAATTGAAATTGAATATATGTACTTAATTTAGTTATGATTACAAAATGCGGCTTGTGAGTCGACGTTTATTGCGAAATGAATATTAAATGTTTACATTGCGGCAATTAAACAGCGAAACAAAAGAGGAATTTGTTATGATTTCAAGTTCGAAAGTTAAGTCTCAAAACTGATTTAACTATAAATTAAGCTACAGAAGTTTATTAAGAGTTAAGCATTACTGTGATATTGGTCATCAGAGTTATAAGTCAATATTAATGCTATGAAATTATTAAGAAATCATCAAGAATAAAATATAATAATAAAAAATTAAATTTTATTTACAACAAATAGTAGAGTGATTAAGATTAAAGCATAAAATTAGGACAACGCATCCATATAGAAAACTAAATAAATAGACACAAAAACTTAGATATCATTTTGGGCTGCAAGTTATTTTATAACGGTTGTGTGATCTCAACAAATATGAACACTTTAAAAACAGATTAATTTGCATAAGGATATACGGCATATAAACATAGAATCAGGATATGCACTGCAAACTGAATGTGACAGTCTGACATATTTATTTCTGGGAGTATCTCGGTACCTTAATTCCCAATATTCATACAGATGAAATCAATCTGGTATATGGAGACCATAACGGCCATATTGGGAGTATAAATGATTCTATAATAATTTGCCAACAAAACAACGTAAATTGATTACTTTCTGTGTGACCGTTCGTGTTAAATATTTTAAAGATTGAAGTCATAATTGGTGAGGCAGTCATCTATTAACATAAAGATTTGGCGGCAGATGTTAAAGCTGGCTAGAAAGAAAAACAAAGGCAGTTCAGAGCAAAATTTCATTTGATTATAATGGAAAAAAGTTGTGCCCCGACATATAACCTTCTTACCTTTTTTACATTTAGCTACTGGTAACATGTAGAATGTAGAATACAATGTAGAATACTTCTCAAAATCACTATATAGAAAAGTCCAAAACTAAACTTGCTATTTCAAGGGGCGATTATAATATAGAAAGAACCTGGTAGTGAAACGAATATGTACAGCAAACTGTCCAAACATCTGGGAACGAGTCCTAAATAGAGATGCGTTAAAAACAATCTTATCATTCAATATAATGATGTTTGATAAGGAAATCTGATTTGGCATTTCCATCGCTCTCGAAAAAGTATTCGATTTAAGAACTTTTCCTCGCAACTCTCAACAGATCATCGAATCACAACGCAATTAACTGCGTATGCATATTGGCTTCAAACCCAACATAAATGTTGAAGTGAATTAAGGCCCACTTTTGAGTCAGGTGATGTGTGGCGTGGTATTGTGCCTTCTATCCGACGAAATGTAAGGCGATCTTCTTTGGACAGGTCAGCTCTGAATTAAGTTGTGTCATTATGTGTACACTTCTGGCTTTGGTTTGGCGAAGCTTACAATGAAGAACTGTGGTGAAGAGTATTATATTTAAACTCTCATTTAAGCCAAAATGATAAATTTGAAAAATGGCAATGGATTCAATGTGTATGGTAAAGTTGAAAATCAAGACTTATTCTGTTGGATTAGAAAATGTCAGAACAGTTAATAGGCAATGACCAGCAATAACAAATGTATTTGGTTATTGGGCTGCATTACAAAAATTAGAACAGAAACTTCAGATTACAGAAATGCACATGCTCTGCTGGTTATGTCATGAGAAGATCAAAGGACCATACGGTGACGGAAGTTGCAAGGTTTTAATGCTGTTCTGCAAATAGCGATGTTTTTGCTTTAGTATAGTCCTTTTTATTAATTGCAATTGCAAGATTTAAATATAGCCAAAATTATATCGAATAAAAATAAAATTAATGTTAAAAAAGTGATACCTTTTTCATTGGCAGACATTAAGTTAAGTGTATTATGAGGACTTACACACACCCTAAACACTTCCTAAAGTTTGGTAACAAGTTCAAATAGGTTAAGGTAGATTTTATTGGTATTATCAATTTAATATTGGCAATCACTGTGTAACTAATATACACTAATTTGTAGTGTGCATTTACTGTGCACATAATTTTGATCTTAATTGCTAATAAATTATACTGGTATGCCTTATCATTTACTCTCACAAAAAAATTATTGAAATAAAACTCTTTAAAAAACATTTTTTTTTTGTTATTTTGATATTGTTTAAAGCAATATTAAAGTAAGTTGACAGAACTCACTCAGTTCTCGTACAATTGTTTATGATAACGGTCGATATCTGAACAGTAGTTCGATTCGAAAATCGAAAAGGTAAACGAAATGTTCTAAGTGAGATTGGGTTAACTTCCTGCCTTGTCAAGACATCAAAATTATGCTTTTGCAAAAATTCAAGCTCTTTTCTTATAAAATCGATGACGAATATATGAAAAATATGTGTTGATGAAAAGTCTTAAAGAATCTCAAAATATTTAATGAGCGAGTATGTTCGTTTAATTTTTAAAAGAAACTATATATGGATAAGTGAGTGCACAATTATTGATAATGAAAGTAAAAGCTTCGTATCTATAATTTATATAGTGAAAACAACAATTTTTTAATTACACTGATACCATTAGGCAATAATGGAATATCAAAACTCTAATATAAATAAATCTTAAAAAAGTACAAGTAAATTTGTGATAAAATATGTATAAAATTATATAAAAGTTTAACGATTATATGATCAGTAATTGTGAGTAAAGACATAAATTTGTATAACTAATGCATAATTAATAAAATATTTAACGGTGTTCAAATTAGAATTCGATCAATCTATAAATAAAAAGGAATGATAAATTTAAATTTATTCTATTTAGTTTATAACATTTTTGTATCAGTTTTTTAACAGAATAGGAAAGCTTCTCAGAAATATATCTACAAACTCACTCCGTATATTGATTAATATATTTTTATACACAGACATATCTATGCCTGTGCATAATTACATGATTTATTCATTATCAAATTAATATTTTAAGAACATTTATCTATATTACTTTCAATCAAAAATTATGTTATCTTTCCATTAATGTATTATTATAGCATTACTTAAATATATGTTAAGTAATTGACAGATAACCGTTAATAAATAAATACAAATATATTTCAGCTTCAAAAATGTAAGTTAGTTACACACATATATATATACATACGTATTATATATGTAAAATAATTAGTATTTATGCAAGTGAGTGTGTAAATGTCCCGAAAAGATTTTACCAACTTAAACTAATTGTTCACCTGCTTATCCGAAATTTTTATGGGCATAAAAGCTGAACTAATACAATCTCTGCAATTATCAAATGTATTTATATTTATGACAATTTTTCAATAACAAAGCATTAAGGTAAATACGTAAACAAACAACGGTAGTTATCTGTTTGAGCTCTGATAAACCAATTTCTTTTATAATTGCTTCTATTTCCCATTATAGGGTGCTTGAACACTTGATTAGGCATATGCGTACGTATACAGATATATGTATGTGGAAATATATACAAATATATATTTATATCCCAATATATATTGGGAAACGAATAAGTTTTTACAACGAGTAAATTTAGTAAATTTAACAATTAGTAAAAATATATTTAACTAAAATAAATAACTAATAACTGATGCAGTTTTACATATATTAAATTAAATTCGATATTATGCGATAAATGTGTTCATTTTTGCAATAAATTTTAATGAGCTTCCGAGGCGTAGAGTCTATAAAAATTATATGAGTAGCACAGTACTGTAAAGCTTAGTGCTGTTAATGTTACTACTGTTAACTTTACTACTGCTAATACTGAAGCCCGTATTAGACTGTGTTCATAATCTTATAGTTAGACCGAGGAAATATTAAAGCATAATTATTGTATTTTAGATTATTTTTATGTTATTATACTATATTAGTTTAATAATTGTTATCTCAAAAAAAGTTTACAGAGGCTTAAAAAAAAATTTTGTTAACCTGTACAAAAAAATGTTATAAGATTTAATTTTATATTGTATCTTAAAAAATATATACTTCTTTAGATTCTTTTTGTATTTGAAATTAAATATGTATATATATGTATATATATAATTTTTGATTTTTGCAATAAAATGAATTGTGTGAAATTACCAATTTTTCCAGTGTAAAAGAGATAAGGAAACATTTTATCATTTGATAGCGCCGTCAGTGGCGATAAGTTGTAAATTTTGAAATTAATGCTCATTGAACGCTCAATTGTTATTTACGAATGTGATTGTTATAAAAATAATTACTTTAATTCCGATATTTATGTGCGCATTTAGCTTATTTAAGGACTTGAATTTAAATAATTTAATTGACACATTCGATCGTAAATAATTGCAAACGTTTAAAAAATATGTATGTAAACAGTGACTTTAAAATTGAATTGCTTTAGGTCATTCATTACTTGCTTTACAATATGTAAACAAATTAAAATATTTATTAACTACCGCATACGAAAGTTCAAAGCAAAAAACGTCCGGTTCGCTTAAGTCCGGTTTGCTTATTAAGACAGGCTGAGTGCATTTATTTTGGAAATACATAATACATATATTATATTGTAATAATAATTTTTATAAAGGCGCTAATAAATCCGTGATATCTCTTTCGCTGTACGTATCGATTTCGAATGTAAGAACGGGAAATGCGAGAAAAACATAACATTTTGATAAAGCCTACAAAACCTCCTTTTAGTATTGCATATGTCATCTTGCTTTCCTGCTTGCTGATTCATTATGGAGCAGCTCAAAGTTCGACTAGTCCCGACGAGCAACTAAATGGTAAGTATATTGATTTATATGAATTTAGACTCACAATTATATAAAATTCACATTTCTACAATTCTACATTTGATATTATTTTCATGAAGTAACGAAACAGTCAATGAATTGGCATGTTCACTTAATCTTTTGAACTATATCTTGTACTCAGTATTTATACTTCAACGCTAAGAAAAATATACATAATCAGATATGAATGTTATAATTTATAATTAGACCATGACAAGTTAATGTTTGATCTCAAAATATTATTTTGAAATAGAAATATATATACTCTATGTATTTCTATTTTTTAGTGGCTACTATTTCCGTATAATTATATATCCGATATATCATTCATTCATCATACATTTTGAAACAGCTTTATATAAAAAATATATTTAACTGAACTTTTAATAAACGCCTTATAACCACTACATACAATTTGATATTTTAATACTATTTTGATACTATTTTGATTAATACTATATTGATACCAAATACGTTTCGAATGAATTCATATACAATACAAATACTAGAATCGGAGAAAGTTTGCTTCTAATTTTCTTAATTCTCATTTAGTCATCTTTAACTTCACATCCTTACACTGGTACGACTAGTAGACAATGAATGTTCATTAGATGGTAAAAATTCGGTTTAAGTATAACCGAATAGAGGGTTATCCTTTTTGTGGTCTTTATTTGACAGTGCTGTTTCAGTAACATATGTCAAAAACAACTATCATCCAATACCTCATATATTTAATGCAATGTATCCTATCTTACTGTATGAATCGTTCAAAAACCGCTGAAAATAAAAAAATTGTAGTAACTTACAACAGAGGTATACTTCGCAGGCATGTCTCTTGATGGACGCATGTGGGACAGTAAAAATCTTGTAGTAGTTGTAGAAAGACTACTATTTTCATATTTTTTTCGCAAATGATGTAGGTGTGACATAAACCTTCAATTTTGTTAGAAGTAGGAACTGTTTATACTTTCATGTGTAAGTTACAATATTAAGTTCGCTGAAATGGACCTGTAAGTTTTTTGTTTTCCATTTCATAGAGATGAGATCTATTGAGAATCTCAAAAGTAACAAAGAAGAAAAAATACGATTTATACTTGTTAATTCAACCCTTAATTTATTTTTAAAATTCTCATTTTATGCGCTTTGATGCTTTATTTCACAAATGAAGTTTATTGCTATTTAGACGAATTAGCTTCTTTGTAGCGCTTTGATGATATAATTGTTGAGAAAACCAAGCACTCCGTTCTTGCTTTAAATTAGAATTTTCCATATATGTTAAATACTATATGAAATTATGATTTGAGAAAATTAACGTGTTTCGAGCAAAGTGAGTGCGAAGCCCTTACTTCCAATGGTATAGCAGCGTATAAAGATGCGTTATCTGCGAATACAGGAATGCACTTTATTACTTCTTCACAGCGTGTTTCTGTCTTAAAACCAATTATCTACAACACCAATTATCTGCTCGTGTCCACCGATTCTCAGGATATATATATGGTACCTCTGCATGGCTTTCATTAAACCGAATGACTCCTGACCCCTGATCGTGAATCTTGAATTAGGGGATATTGTTATGTTTTTGGAGAGCTTTAATTTGTCTAAGTTAACTAGGAGACTTTCTTCAGAGATGACAAAATATCCCTGAAGCCCTGATTCAGGGGATATTGTTTGTTTATTGGTAGCTGTAATTTGTAAATGTAAACTTGGAGAGTGTCTTTAGAGATAACATAACAGATCCTATATGTTTAGAAATAGTTTCAAAATAATGATATATTTATACGAATTCCTTGTGTCAATAAAAATGTTCAGCACTACTACAGAAGTACAAATAAAGATTCTTGAAAAAAATGAAATATCTTATTAATGTTATTGATGTATTTCTTTTAAATTTAGATGACATACAAATTATTTGGACACCAACCGAAAACTCCATTAATTTTACAGTTGCAGATCCAGATAATTACGAAATTCAGTCGGTTTCATGCAGAAGTCAAAAAAATTTAGACGGTGAGAATGAACATATTTGGTATGTTAGTAACTATTTTATTAAAAGGATAATTATAATACTTTTTTTTCTAACGTATTTAGCGAAAATCTTAGTCCCTGCTTAACATACTTTGCAACATTATATGTGAAGAATTTATCTGATTCTAGCCAACCATATATTGAAAAAGTAGTACAAGCTCAAACAAATTATGCTGGTGAGTTATTAATTAAAATTTTTTTTTAAATTTAAAATTATAATTAAAATTAATTAAGTTTATGTTTATTTAATATTTTATATAATAAAATAAAAATTCTATATAACTAATTGATTTCAATTAATTAATCAACATTTGAGTTAATTAAAATATGCAATTCGTTATAATATTATATGTTGGAATTAATATATGGTAAATAATACACAAGTTGAAGATAATTTTATATAAAACATAATACATAAAAGTGCAATCAGATACTGACTAGAAAAACTTTTAGTTTTAATAATTTTATGACAAATGTTAGTTAGTTAAACCTTACTCCATTGTTAACCTCCTGAGCACTTTTATGACAGTCTTGTCCGCAATTCCTTTATGACTTTCATTATTTTAACTTCTACTTCTTGTCAATGTTTTTAGAGCCAATAGTCGTTCTCGAACCTGTAAAAACTGGAACTGAAGAGCTTAATCTAACGTGGCAGGTTGTTCACATGACATGTGTATCAAATTTTCAAATTGATGTTAAATCTGTTGAAAAGGATTACAAATGGACTGTAGTTGTGAATGATAAAACGTTTTTACATGTTGATGAACTGGAGCCATGTGAACAGTATAATATACAACTTAAAACTTATGATGTTAATAAAATATTAGTGTCGAACCAAAGCTCAACGAGCTGGACGGATTATGCTGGTATAGTTCAATAACAAGAAGTTAAATTTTATTATTCTTTTGTAAGATGAGAATATTTTGTAGAACCGGGTGAAGTCAATGTAACTTTATCTCCACATGGAAAAGACATGAAAGCAACATGGGATCTACCGTCTTATAAAACTTGCATTACCTCCTATACATTCAAATGGTCAAAATTAGATTGTGAAGCAATTGATGGTGGCCTATCTTTAAAAGAATTAGAAAATATGTTTTTTGATAGTCTTGAAGGATCTGGTGACAGTTCTGTGACTGAAATGCCAACTACAACGGTAACTACAACAGGTGTGTTGATAATATATTGTACTTGTTTTTCAATTTTTTTCAATGATTTTTTGTTGAAATATTTTAAGATGAACACTGTGAATGGTCGTCCACTTTAAATGATGAAAATGCAAAAGAGTTTATTATAAAAAATTTGGAAGGTTGTGAAAATTATGAATTTGCAATTTACATCAACTCGAATTCAACACCGAAATCTGAAAAAGAAATATTTACTTCGCCACAACAAGGTAAGCATTATCTCTTATATTTAACATAAGATCATTATAAAATAAGCTTTGATGCATAAAAGCTTATGGATGACTTAATACTATAGATCACTGCTACAGTATCACGCTCTATTAGCAACAACACACTGGATATTTGTGCAAATCACTATTATCGACATTGTTAAGTTGTCAAATTAATTCTTTAATGTTTTTTTTTTTTGTATTTCTAGTACCAGGCGTCGTTACATTTCAATTACCTGTAATAACCTCCACTAACATCTCGATTTATTGGAATCCACCAACAGAGAACTTAAAATGTGTTCAATTTTATAACATATCTGCAACAGGGCCACTTCAAAGACCTGAAGAGGATGTACGAACATATGAAAGTGTAACGACCGATACAAGTATGCATTTTGACAATCTTGATCCATGTGGCCACTATAATTATTCGGTAACTGCAATTGCATTGGATGGCACCTCTGGGATAACAGCCAATTCGTCATTCGATACACTTGAAGAGAGTATATTTATTTAAAAAAAGTAATATAATTTCTTTAATTTTTTTTTATTTTGTTGTAGAACCCAGTGCTGTTCGTGTAAATGACTTTATATCGGCGCCATACTCTTTGGAAATTTCGTGGCAACAACCACTTTTTGCAGACCTGTGTTTAAATGGTTATCGCCTCTCTCTTTGGAAGCTTAAGAGTACACTTTCCGAAATAGATTTAGTAACTAATGACACTTTTGTGCGATTTGAAAAACTTAATTCCTGCCAAGCATACACCATACAAATAATACCAACAACAAAAACGATGGATGGTGAGTTGACCCAAATTGAAGCTGAAACATCCGCAATTGTTGCTCAGTCTATAGTATTTGAAAAACTTGCCGTGTATCCAAATGGTATTGAACTTAATGCACGTGATCAAGATACAAACAACAATTGTGACAATCTATTCGCACATTTTCGGTGTGATCTCGCTGATAGTACATTGGTTGATGTACCATATAAGGTAAATATAAATTTTGCTCATTTTATATCTTCAAAAGATATGTATATGTATGTGAACCTAATTTTTAATTAGCAAATTTATTTTGGAAAAATTTTATTGTGTTTAGACATCTGAGCAGTACATAGAAAAGGTTGGAGGTATTACTTTCACAGCTTTTCTATCACCCCTTTCTCCGAACACTAAATATAAATGTAACTGCAAAATTTTCAACGTTGCCGGTTGGTCTGCTGTGAAGGATATAGTGGATACTTTAGGACCATATTGTGAGTAATATTAAATTCTTCTCAAAATTTGCAAGGAAATAATGTACAAGTTCTAATATTAATTGAAATACATTGAATTACTAGATCCCGACACTCCACTAAATGTAGGGCTAAAAACTAAAACTAATTCGTCAATTCATTTTAGTTGGGAGACGCCAAAGTTTTCCAATGGAAACATAAAACTATATATTACTCATTTTCAACGTGTGGAGGCTGCATATTTTGTGCCATCTGAATGTAGTACTATTTTAATGGAATCTATTAAAACAGAAACCTCAAGTTTGGAATTGACATTTCCTAATTTGACACCATATACGCGATATAGTATTCAAATTGCAGCACAAAATGAGTATGGAATTGGTGAATACACAAGGCCATTTATGGGTATTACAGAACCTTGGGGTATATAAAAAATAATATAAATTTTTCATAAACCTTCTTATGTTATGTTTTTGTATAAAGTTTCAGAAAAAGTACAGAATTTGAATATGGAAACGGAAGGCCCATATGCATCACAAGAGGAGTATCGTGCTAACGTACTCATTACTTGGATGTTACCATGCAAATCAAATGGTGAGATTAGTTACTTCTTAGTAAAATTTGTTGGAGTGCGTGAAAATTATGGGACCGAAAGTTTTACACGCCATATAAAACCTGAATACAATAGACATGGTAAAATGGTTCACAATGAAACAGATTTAAAGCCCCAATATCAGTACAAAGTTTCTGTTGAAGTCCAAACAAAGGATGTTGACAGATTAAGCGATGAAGAATGGGGATATTTTGATGCTCCAGCTGGAAGTAAGTTGAGCATGGATCGGTTGTTTTGTATAATAAAATAACAATGTAAAATGTTTCAGTTCCAAAGAAACTCAGTTCTGACGAAGTAAGTCTAACGCAAGTGAGTGCATATGAAGCAGATAATCCAACAATTTCCGCAAAGGTCCGTTTTCCCAAAGATATATTAGAATCAGAATCTGGATCCGTGTTGTATGTAGCACTATTAATATCAGAAAAGGTATTAAATATAGCACATAAATGTTTATTTAATTTAGTAAATTGTAAAAAGTAAGCTCAGTATTTTGTTTATTGCATTAGAGTTGTAATCCGGAGCCGCAATTAGTGTACGCTGCAATGGATTCCAGAAATATTTGGCCTAACAGCTTAAATTGGGTAGAGGTTTACGAAGAGAGCAATGCGTGCATATCGCAGTATCAAACTACACCACTACGATGGGATCCATTAGATCAAAAAACGAATGAATTCAAAAGTAGTATTAGTGGAAGCCGGGAATTGGATGATGATGACTTTATAACATATACAATTGGATCCGATAAGTGTAAAGGATCCATGGAACGCTATTGCAATGGACCCCTTAGAGCTGGTATAGTAGAAAATAGAAATTGTATTTTGTGAATTAATTCATTTATATATATTTAACACTTTACTTACAGATACTGAGTACTATTTAGTTATTCGACTTTTCACGAAGTCCGGTTATAGTGATGCAGTCATGCTTGAATTTAAAACAGATTCATTAATACAATTAACTATAATTTTGTCGAGTGTTATTTCTTGTTTGCTTTTTGCTTTTATTGCGGGGTTAATATATCTTTGGGTAACAAAAAGGATTGCTTGGTATTATGATGTTTTTAAAATTTTTCTGTTTGGAATTTAATTTAATATTTTTAAAGGCACAGAGAATCATGTCATGGGTTAGAAGATTTGTTTGGTGACATTGTGACTAAAAACTTTGCCATTTACTACCGTGATGTTGCAAAACCGGAAAAACTGTTACGAGAATTCAAGGAATTAACAATGGTCGCAATGGATTTAAGTTATTCCGCTTCTGAACTCGGTTGCAACAAAAATCGATATGCAGATATATTTCCTTGTAGGAATATAAATTAATTGTGAGAGTTTTAAGCTTTTATAATAAATTCATTAAATTTTTTTATAGATGATAAAAATCGTGTAATTTTGGACATTGATGCAGAAGGTTCCGATTACATTAATGCATCTTTTATAGATGTAATAAACACTTTTGATTTTATTAGAATCATTCCAAAATATTAAAAAATTTTTTAATAGGGTTATAGACGAAAAAAGGAATACATTGCTACACAAGGTCCGAAGTTGGAGAGTACTTTAGATTTTTGGCGTATGGTTTTGCAACATAACGTTCGTGTCATTGTTATGGTAACACAATTTCGGGAAGCAGATGTGGTAAGTTGATATAAAATAAAAATAAAAATAAAAAATAAATTAATGTAATTATCTTTAATTTTATAATAATTACAAAGGTTAAATGTCACGAATACTTTCCTTATAAATCAAAAGGTATTAATGTTTCTATAAAGAAGAAAGAGACATTTGAGTTGTACGATCGAACAGAGATATACGTTTCACACTATCAGTATGACTTGAAACAAAAAGTAGTTCATTTTTATTTTAAAAAATGGCCAGACCATGGCGTTCCATCAGATCCCAATCAGTTGATCACATTTGCTAAAAAAGTTAAGAGTGAAAAAGTACCTAGCTACTCACCAATTGTTGTACATTGCAGCGCCGGAGTTGGGAGAACAGGAACTTTTATTGGTCTTGATATCATCATGCAGAGAATTAAAAGTGAATCGAAAATAAATGTTTATGAAACCGTTAAAAAATTGCGTTTCCAGCGTATGAAAATGGTGCAAACCCAAGCGCAATATAATTTTCTTTATATTTGCGCTTACGAGTTGGTGAAACATAAAGCAGCTAGACATAACTTACAATACCAAAATAAAGTTAATGGAAAAAAAGTGAGCTTTGAAGATGACAATATTATAAATGAACGTGACAAGGCATCTAACAGTCAAAGTAATCATGATATCGGTTTAGTGTCAGAAAAATTACCAACCAGTAGTAATAGACCAATGAAAAGTTACAACACAGAAACTTCTACATATAATAGCCCTTCTCTTAAGTTAAAGAATAATGGTTTCCAACCCAATTATCAAAGATATAAAGAATATGATCAAGATATATCAAGCGATATTCTTAAAGAAAATACTTCAGAGAGTGTAATGTAATGATGACGATGATGTATTATATCCTCTAAAAGATATATGCATGGGTACATATAAAATATTGTATTTAAAAATAAATAATACGTACGCAATTAAAACCAAAGATTCAAAATATTAAAAAATAAATTATAAAATTGTGATAATATATTTTCTTCATCAATAAAGTTTTTATTTATTTATATATAAATATATTTATTGTACTTGATGAACTTTATTGCATTTAAATTTGTTGTTTAGAGCTAAGACATATAAATATATTGTATATACAACTAATAAATATTTTTATTCTGCACTATAGTTTAAATTGTTTTTTATTTTTATGTTATTTAACAATTGCATGCAGTAGAGTGAAATAATTTTTAAAAATTAATTTGCAATTTGATAAACGCACATAGTCCAGCAAATCAATTATTTAAATGAACTTTTATAATGGTCACATTTTCCACTTATACTTTGTAATATAGTAATTGACCCAGCAATTAAATGTTTAAATGTTTAATGTTTTAAATGTTTACACTTATTTAGCAAATAACAATCAGTTTTAAGTTTAGAATGAAATTAAGGGAAATACCATTAATTCCGTTGTAACGAAAACTGAAATTAAGAGACATTTGAAATTCAACATGCGTTAGATAAATTTAAAGGAAAAGATGATGAAATAACGAAAAAGTGATATTTTTTTAAAATAAATGTCAATAACAGTTCACTTTAATAAAACCGGGAAAATATTTTAAAAATAGTGCAAATTTTTAAATTTGAATATAGAGAAAACACTGTAACTGTTATTAGTTTAAAATAGAGTGAAAAATAATAATTTGCATACCTGAAATCCACTAAAGCTAATAAAACTACTGAATACCTTATCCTTAATATCCTTATATCGTTAATAGTAATAGTAATCAACTTTTAGAATTTCGTAGATACAAATGATGTTTGGAGCATGCAGTTTTTAACATTCGATTTGTAAACAGAAAACATACGAGATCCTTAATCTAGGGCAGTATGAACACTTTCAAAATTAACTTAATTTCATTTTCACGAAATTAAGGAAATTTGGCTGTTTAAACATAGTATTATCATTTTTTAAAAAATTACGAATTTAGAAAAATAAATATATTTTGCATAGTCTTTGTTTGTTTTTATTAAACAAATACCAGAAACATCTTATCGTGATAAATGCGAAAATTGTTTCAAATAAATCAAGATAATCCATATATAGAAGATAATCCTTATGTTATAATAAAAAAAAATTAAAAAGTTGCCACACGGTTATACAATTAATTTATCTACCATATATTTATTTTAAGAGACTATTTTTTATAAATGGTAATTTTAACAATATAACATCAATCTGGCAATATTTCATTTTAGATTCAGCTGTTCAATTTGTTTTTAGTTCTTTAAGTTACAAGAATTTATTTGTTTATAAAGTTTTAGCTGCAATATGTCCGAACGTAAAGTATTAAATGTAAGTATAAAGATAAAGATTAAAATACAGAAAATTGTGTTAATAGAAATTTTTTGTCGTAGAAATACTATCCACCAGATTTTGATCCATCAAAAATTCCACGCATTAAATTGCCAAAAAATCGGCAGTACACTGTAAGATTGATGGCACCTTTCAATATGCGTTGCAAAACTTGTGGGGAATACATTTATAAAGGTAAAAAATTTAATGCTCGAAAAGAGGATGTCGAAAATGAGACTTACTTAGGGATTCGCATTTATCGCTTTTATATAAAATGTACCCGATGTCTGCAGGAAATTTCCTTTAAGACCGATCCCAAAAATACTGATTATGAAATTGAAGCAGGAGCCACAAGAAATTTCATGGCATTAAAGTTGGCAGAAGAGCAAGCTCGTAGAGAAGAAGAAGAAGCACGAGAAGAAGAGGCAAATAATCCAATGAAATTGCTAGAAAATCGCACTGAACAGTCTCGTAATGAAATAGAAGTATTAGAGTCTTTAGAAGAGTTAAGAGATTTAAATCGTCGTCATCAAACAGTGGATTACGAGACTTTACTTAAACAATACGATAATGGAGAGACTGAACGAGAACGTTTGGAAAGACAAGAACGAGAAGATGAAGAATTTATAAAGTATACTGCATTAATTATTATAAACAAACTATATAATAAAGTAATATTTGTAGGTCTGTTCAATTTAAAAAACAATCCGCCGGAAGTAAGATAATTGCAGAGGAAATAATTGAGGAAATATCTGATGATAAAGGTTTTAACGAACCACCATCTAAAGTTGCAAAAACGCAGGCTAAACAACAGAGCTTACAAAGCACTCAAATACAAAAAAGTAAGAATCCAAATGTAATTGCCCGTAAACAGCCGCTTGTTCTAGTAAAATCAAAAAAGGTAACAGAAAATAAAACGATTCATGTTGAATCCAAGAAAGAAACAGGAAAACCCGTCTTGAACAACCCTAGTAAAGGCTTATCACTCTTAGCGAATTATACTGATTCATCTGAAGATTCGAATTAAAATAATTGTAAAAGTACCTACATTTTTAAAAATTAAAATATATTTAATAACAAAAAAATCAACATATATTTGTTAATAATTCAAAAGCTCCAGTGCCGTTTTTAACTGGCAAACCGACCATAAGACGACTTGATGGGGAATTTAATTCATCATTACATCCTGCTCCTGCTGCATTTTTAAGGAATTGTAAACATGATTCAAATGACATTTGTTGTAACGGCGATGACGAATGTTCCATTCCTTTTCTCGAAAGAGGCTGAAATATACCATTAAATGTCATATAGTCTGCTATAAGAGATAAGTGACGTCTATCAACTGTAATCCCATAAACTTTGAACACATTTGTTATTTCGTTAACAATTACTTGAGCTGCAGCTTCAATACCATATGTTTTTGCTACTGCGTGTATATCATTCGAATATAATTTATTTAGATTTAGTATTTTGTTATGTTTAAACATTTCTACAATGTTTATTCCGTCTGTTTTCAATAATTCCATATTATTGTCGCCTTTATATATAATAGCACGTTTTATATTTTTCACTTCATGTACAACACATTTGCTTGCTATATCTCGAATTATATATGAAATGTCCGGCTTATTGTAAGTTGTATTTAACTAAAAATATAATAAATTCTTTAAAATTATTTTAATAATAAAATGAAGAAATATAACTACATTAAATGTAAGTTGACACCACAAATAGCCCTCCTTGTCATATATGTAGTCTTTAACCATTGTATTACTTAGCACTTTGTCTATTAATTTGTCATCTGAGTCCTTATTTTCTGTCGATATGTCAACTTCAACTAAAACGGCATCATCCTCTTCAACTTCTAAAAAGGGGTAGAATTGTAATAGTTATACATATAAATTGAGTTGATAGTGATACCATCTGCATCTGCAATTTCTTCTACATCATCTGGCTCATCATATTCTTGTTCATCTTGCTTTCGGGATTTTAACTTGATACCAGTTGCGTCATCATCTTCTTCGTCATCTGATGAATCAATATCTTTAGCTTCTTCCAATTTGTTCGTTTTTTTATTCTTATCGGTTTCATTTTCACCACCATCGTTGTCAAGTGCATCATTTTCTTGCAAGTCCATTTCTTTTGCGATCTTAACCTCATTGACATATGATCTTTAAAATGATGATATATTAAAACTTAAAGAACTTATAAAACCATTTTTTACCCTTTCTTTGACGCTTTCATAATTGCACGAAAGAGTTGTTTAAAGAAGATTTCACTCATAAATTTAATTATGCGTTTAGGCCGCATACTAAAATCATTTTGGTAGGCTTCTCGCGGTAGAAATTGAAATTTGATACAATACTGATATGCACGTTCTGGTTTTAAAATCAACTTCATCTTAATATTTACAACTACAAAATAGACAAATTTATTATTGTAAACCTTAAAAATGTAGTGAATTATTACATTCTAGTAAGTCTGCTACAACAACTTTATTTAGTTTAACTCGCAATTTATCAGCATTATTCTCTTGCCCTGAAATTATTGGTATATCCATTGAGGGAGTTTTTATATTTGAAGATGCAAGCATTAATATTTCACGTAAACGTGGAATACCAAGAGTAACATTCATTTCACCACGTCCAGCAAAGTGAAAAGTATTGAGTGTCATCTGAGTTGAGGGCTCCCCTATTGACTGAGCAGCCAATAGGCCAACTGGTTCCCCGGGAGCAGCTAAAGCTTCAATATTTTTTATATACATAATATCAGGAAATTTAGTTTTTAGGTGTGGATGCATCTTCGTAAAATCTTTGATCATTTTTTCAACGTTTTCCGAAACTGATCCGTAGTAAGAGTCTTGCTTGTACGTAGCAACGGTAGGATCTGGACAGCGCATATATTTCTTTCGATATAGACTTTTGCTTTCATCATCTGCTTTATTCCATAACTTCACAATACTTTCATCCAAACGACGCCGTCCAGTTTTTTTATTGATTTTATAAGGATTTTTTATATCTACATCCTTACGTAGCTCTCCAGAAAACTCTGCAAAAGGTGATAACATTTTCCTTAAATTATTTCTTTTAGATTTTTGAGCCTTCTTATGCCACGATTGTATCTTTTTGTTGTATCGTGATACATTTGCGTACAATTCGTCATCTTTCATACAATTTATATCATTCAGATGTAAAATAACATTAGAGTTTTCTGCTAAAAATTTCGACCCGAATTTAGAGTCAAAGAATTTAGATTTTAAAATATCTAATCCGTCTTCTCCATATAAAAATTGAACAACACTATTATCGCTATCGCGGACTGTTAAATCATAATTAACTGTTAAACCTTCTAAATGTTTGATTAAACAACGCTGTAGATAACCGGAACGTGAAGTTTTCACAGCTGTATCAATAAGACCCTGAAAAAATGTTATAATAAAAATAATTTTATATTGTTTTTTAAAAAAAAACATTACTTCACGTCCTGCCATACAATGAAAAAAAAAATCCTGTGGTTGTATGCCTGTCATAAAACGTCCATCTATGAAACCCCCAGATTTCGGCGATGTTTCAAAACTTGTAAAACTAGGAAGAGCTTTTCCTGATATCATTAAAGGTGGCCGTTTGCCTTCCAATTCAATTTGACCTAATAGACATGAGATTTGCATGGTGTTAACCATGGAACCTTTAGCTCCCGATAGTACCATTAATTGAAGATTATTGTTGGGAAATTTGCATATAAGGCCATCGGGTAAACAGGTTCTATAAAGACAGAAATTATATAAATATATAAAAAATAGTTGTTTACATACTTATTAATATCATTTGTGTAAGTATCTAATACGGATTTATATTTCCTATCTAATACCACACGAAATTTCGGGTTTTTTATGTAAGCTTCATCCATTTGTTCGGCAAGAATATCTAAGGGAGGGACTTCTTCCAAGTCCAAAGCAGCAGATAGCGCAGTATTTCCTATCTGAAAACAAATTAACAAAAATAGTAACTCATATAATATCTGAATATGCATATAATTGTTACTTCTCTACACTCTTTAATAATTCTACGTCTTTTATTGTCTGCTTCTTTAGATACTAAAATATCATGTACACCCAAAGTAAATCCTTCGCGTTGTAAAAATACAGTGAATACTTTCGTAAATGCCGTTAAGAGACTAGTCGAAATATTACCTCCATAGAGCTTAAAAATATTAATTTTATTTTAATTTAAAGAAGAAATTCATTTAGTTTAGTATTAGGTATACCTCATACATGCAATGAACAAGACCGTACGTTGTAGCACCATATTGTTGTTTATCCAATACACCAGTTAGAAGTTCTCCATTACGAATATTCACCACTGACTCTGACATCTCGAAATTGTCAAAATTCACTGTTTTTGGTGCAGTTTCCCAATGCTTTTCGATGCACAAAAATATTATGTATATTGTATTATTCTTTTATTTTATTATTATTTAATTACTTAATTACTTACTTTATTGCCTATTTTTGCAGTTGAATTTAAATTTATACGTGGATAGCCATCAGGTATTATATTAATTATGATTGTAGATAATATCTTGAAAATATATGTATATACATTGTGTTTAAGAAATTAATATTTAAGTAATTACCTGTTTTCCTGACCATAATTTAAATGGTTTAATTATTGTTGGTGGAAGAAGTTTAATATCACCTCTATGGTTGGATAAACCTTGGTAAACTAATTGCTGATAATCTTCACAATTAAAAAATCGTCCCCTTATTGAGAGTTTGACACCAGAAATCACATGATCCTGAATTAAGCCACCAAGTGGAGTTCCGTCCTTCGGTACGAGATAATTATTTGCCACATTTACTGTATAAAAATAATAATTATAAATATTAAAAGAAGCAATTTTATATTGTTTTTTAAAGAATCACCTAAATTATATGCTTCAGCCCGTGCTACTTCACTCTGAGGTAAGTGGGCATTCATTTCATCACCGTCAAAATCAGCATTATACGCTTTGCAATTTGAGTAATGTAATCGAAAAGTTTTCTCGCCATGTAAAATTCGTACTTTATGAGCCATTATCGAAGGTTTGTGAAGAGATGGCTGCCGATTTAGTAGCATGATGTCCCCATTGAGTACATGCCGATGTACAATTTTGACACCTTTTTCCGGAAAAGTAAATAGAAGTTTTGCCATACTTTCACGTTTAGCGGGATTATCTGCTGGTATAAGAGTAGTGTTTCCCTTTTCATCCTGTATGTAATTTGCACTATTTATGAACGAAATTTTTATATCAAATAAATTATTACAAAAAAGCAAAACATATCAGATGATCATACCCAGGATGTATATTTGGTCCATTCATTACCATTTTACGTAACATTGTTACATTCCAATGTGTAACTGGAACTGGATAAGACAATTTACGAGCAAATATATCAGGTATACCAACTTCATCGACATTAACATTAGGATCAGGAGTAATTACAGTACGTGCGGCATAATTTACACGTTTTCCCATCATATGTTTACGTATTAGACCTTCTTTTTTTTCCAAAACCTAAGAAAAAATTATTATAACTTGCAATAACTTAACTAACATGATCAAAATTAAAATTACCTGTTTTAATCCTTGTGATGATGGTATATCTCTCGTGGTAGACAAGTTTATATCTAATAGTAAATTTATGGAGTTTTGAAGAACTTGCCAAGCATTATACAATTTTTCGTATTCATTTGAGCCTTTTGATGTTTGAAATACAACCTTTAAATAAATAAAATAATTTTTTATATATTTAAATCCTGATATAATTCTTATCTAAATATTTCTTTTTACATTTGCTTCTTCCGATAATGATTCACGTTCATTTTTTATGTAACTCATAATCACACGTAAGACTGAATTATTTTCAATTATATTTCGGTAGAGGGCTGTTTGTGGATGTTCAATAATGTGATCATGCATGAAATTGACTGGACGAGCTTTGGGAGGCGTTACAGGTATAGTACTCATAAAAAATAGATCAGTCGCACAGCTGTCACCAATGTCGTTAGTTGAATATAAATTTAATATCGGGAAAAGCAGTTTCAACAATTTGGAATTATTTTCATAGATACTGCGAAGATATTTTCTGCATTCATCTGCAAGCACAACTTTTGTTTGACCAGTTGTAACTGAGCTATTCGGTGTACTGAAATATAGTTTTTTCGATACTTGGTTATAAATCAAATCAAATTATGAATAGGAAATATTATTTTACTTAGTTTTTAATTCAGCAGCGCTAACATAGTATGAAAGATTTCTGTGTAAATACCGCACTTGACGCAATGGATTATCACATTTAGTACACTTTTTACCCGACGGCTTCTGAAGACCAGCATTAACGACGGCGGATCTGACAGCACACGATACTTTAGTGTTGTTATAGAAATTTTTTTCTCCTAAAATATTTCATATATTTATATAGATACAACTAAAGTTTTTGATTTTATTTACCTTTATCCAATAATTTAGCTAATTCTGCCACCCTAGGATGGAAATATTCACCATTTTCTTGTTTTATAAGCTGATCTGAGTTTTGGCACACAATTTCTGATTTAAATATTTCAATTTCTTGAGCCTCTACGATATATCCTGCATCTATAAGCTGTAATTGTAGTATAATAATCTCTCGCACGTGATCTAAATATTTGATACTATTTAGTTATTGAAACATTGTTGATGCAATATAAGACTAAAAATACCTTTCATTTGTAAAGCAAAACATCGGAGGCAAAATACTCCTAATATTTTTTGCACAATTTTTATGAAAAAAGGATTGTAAACAAGTGCGTTCAGTTCTATATGGCCGATGTGGCCACTGCAAGTTTGAATATTGTTACACGTGCCGCATGGCTGCAAACGACGCCCATACGTACCCATTAAATTGTCATACAAACCACCTGGTAGTGGGTAACCAAGAGCATCAAAAGTTAAGCCTGTTATAACTTTTACCACACTAAGGCGCTTTATTTCCTCGGCAGAGAAAACGGCAAACTCTAAATTGGACGGAAATACGTCAATGTTGACGATGTGTCCACCCATTGTAACAATGTTAATGTAACGACTTTCAAAAAATCCACTTATATATAATGAAGAATTATTTTAAATAAATTAGAAAAATAAAGTAATAAACTTTTAACGAAGGCCTTCTAATGAAATTTAAAACTAAACAACCGCAGAGTCAAAACTGAACTGTCAAATGTTACCAACAAAACACGTGTGGACAATGGAACAAACGCATATAATGCTTTGATAAAAATTAAACAATCACACTGTTGTTTCCACCGCTTACTTAGTAAGTGTAACTTAATAAGTAAATTTGATTAACCATACCAAGAGCTTCCATGCTTTTTTTACTTACTGTTTTGCTCATGATATTTTTGAAAATAAAAATAAATAGGTAACTCATTGCAGAATATCAAAAATAAAATATAAAACTGTAAACACAGTTCATTATGATGTACAGAGCTCTCTAACTGATATTTTTTTTCTATCAGTAAGTAGAATATATTCAATGTTTCCATATATGACTTCAATCCACTAAAACACTTTGTTAAAAGTGAATTGTGAAAATTTTTTTGTAATAATAATTAACCATATGTCGTGTATAGTATGTTTCCACTGACTTTGTTAGACTAGTTAACTTACTTGAGATTGTTAAATAATAGCACGTTTCCACTGCTTACTTAGTAAGTATAACTTACTAAGTAAATTTCATTAACCATAAAAAAACCTCCGGAGTTTTTAACTTACTTAACAATATTGTAAGCAAAATTAAACCAAAAATGTCGAATACAGCATTGCAAATGATCGAAATGTTCGAAATTTGACATATTTGACACATTAAAAAAATGTAAACATAAACAATCAACAAATCAAAACAAATTAAAGGTAAGACTTTTTAAAATAAATAACAAATATATAAATAAAATATATAATTGTTATATAAAAACATATAAATAAGTTTATATATCAAATATTTATGTAATATGACTTATTTGTTGTTTTTGAATTTAATTATTTTCCATCGCTGACTAATGCATTTGCATTATTAGGAACTGCATTATTTACTTCGGATTCTGAATTCTTTATTGGTTGGTTACTAGTAAAAAAGTAATTATATAGATGAGAAGAGATTATATAGAATTAAACTTGAGGTTTTTTTTTTGGAAATTAAAATTCTAGTACGAAAACAAATAAATTTTATATCAGATTAATTAAAGACATTTTGAGTTTATATATTACTTCTACAATAAATAATAAAATTCGTATATACCATATATACTATATACCATAGCTGGCATATTATTAAAAGACTGAATTAAGTTCTGAATTCGAATAATATCTTATTTTTAAAATGATTGAATAAAATTCAGAATTAGATATAGTTATGGTACGATATAGTTAGCAGCTAAAAATGAATAGTTTGAATACAAATTCTTGTAGATAAATGTTTCGAATTCATTAAGATTCGATTGTTAATAAAAAACTAAATTGATCTGGTCATATTGGATATCCTACATAACTTAATACCTTATATGCAAAGTCTCCTGTTAAAATATGCATGGTTTCTAATAATACAGATAAGTTGTTTGAGAGACCGATTTAATTTTATATATTTATATAACAATAATTAACACTTAAAGTCCTGTTATCAATAAAAAATTTGATTTGAAAAATCTTTTATAGGTATAAAATATATTTCAGCACTAGTTAGTTAATAACTTAGTTTTAGTTGCAGCTAAATCTTATACACTTGAGGCCCTATGCTCCACTGGGATTTAATGAAATAAAGAAGAAGAAGAAGAAATCTTATGCTCACAACTATTTTAAGCATGAATCTGAGCATTCGCAATCGCTGATAATAGATACTTATATATACATAGGTATGTAGGTGAAATATTGTGATATCAAAACTATTTCAATTGAAAACTATTTCTCTACTTCCAATCTATTCAATGTACATATATATTTACTGACTATGATGTTTCATTGTTGTTATTAAAATTAAAAAACCGGAGACACACTTCAGAGGTCAAACAACAACATTGCATCACCTGCAAACTGTGTTTATCATTGTGCTTTGGTTAAATCACTCAATAATTTTCAAAGAATAATTTGTTAGTAATAATAATTGTGATTATGAATTATTTTTAATGTTACTTTTTAAATCAATAAAGTCCCAAAGAGTTCGCGCAACCATGTTACTGACCAACTGCGGTGATCTCACAACTTTGGAGCAATACATATGTATGCAGAAAAGCAGTTGGACAGTTGCCGCTTGAGTAAATTTAGCAGGCCGGACCGAATAATTATATGAATTGTATATATGAATTCTGCGTATCAGCCAAAAGCATTTGGGAAAATAAATACATTTCTACCAAATTATTTACTGACTATTCACATCGGTAATGTATGTATGTACCTGTATAATCCACATACAAACACACGAGCCACATGCTCATAGGTTTGTAACCAATGTAATTAAACAAAACAAATGTCACCTCGTATGTAGAAGTTATAGTCAGGAATGGATGACTTACTTCAGTAACTCTCCCGATGAGTTCTCTTAGTTAAGTGTTAAAGTTAAATCAAATTTTATTATTTTTAAAATTTAGTTCATTCGTGTACGTTCCCATCGAAACAACAAATAAAAACTAAATCGAATAAATTCTGGGTGTTGGAACATTTTTCAAGACTGAGTGCAGAATACATAATGATTAATCAGCAAATCAGGAACAAAACATCGTATTTCCGATAAGCTAATAATTTGTGATTTTAATAAAAAAAACCTTGAAAGCATAGCAATTAGAAGTTATGATACACGATACGGAAATTGTGATGATATCAAAATGATTCTTCAGTTAAGAAACAAATTCGAACTAATCTTCATCTCATTGTTAGTGAAAGTGATTTTATGTCGCACACAGCAGGCACAGATCACACTGGAGAAAGGAACAGTTGCGGGTGTGAGTTAATATTTTTTTATTTATTTATTCATATAATAAATAAAAATGAAATTTTAAAAAATTTGTTTTTTTGGTGCAAAAAAGATTGATATTCTTTGCTTGTAAATATATTTTAATAATGTTAAATTAATTGCTGATCTTTTTTATTTATCGTGAAGATTTTTTTGTTAATTCATAAATTAAAAATAACGACAATACGTATTTACATATGTGTGTGGTTTAAATATTCCAGCTGAAAGTGTTTCCAGACTCCAGTCGATCAGCAGTTTACGCCTTTTTGGGCGTTCCTTATGCTCAGCCTCCAATCGGGGATCTGCGTTTTGCTGTAAGTAATATTATATTCAAAAATTTGAAGGCACTGACCCATAGCAATTTTAGTCACCAAAACCTCACAGAGGTTGGAATTGGACACTTCAAGCGAAAAGTTTAAAACCCATTTGTCCTCAACTAACAAATACAATTTACGACGAGACTGCAGATAGTGCATTTGCACGTCCGGCGCAAATGTCCGAAGATTGTTTATATCTAAATATTTGGGTACCAGAGGTATTTAAATAAGTAAAATACTCGTACAAATTGTAACAACAATTTTTATTAGACAGCATTACGTTTAGGAAATTTACCGGTACTGGTAATTATATCTGGTGAAGATATGTTATATGATTGGCCCCATAATCGCGCATTTGGCTTTGACTTAGCATCTGAAGGTATTATTATCGTAAATATACAATATCGGACAAACATATTTGGCTGGATAAATTTATTAAATTCAAAAATGTCGGGTAATTTCGGTTTAGAGGACCAACAGCTGGCACTTAAATGGATTAAGCAGAATATACAAAATTTTGGTGGAAATCAGAATCAAATCACATTACTGGGACATGGTACAAGTGGTACAGCTTGTGTTATGGCTTTGTCTTTAATACAAGATGTTAGAGAACCGATTTTCTCTAGCATCATTTTAATGTCACCGAAAGACCTTATAGGAACTTTGAGTTTAAATGAAGTTGTTATGGAATCATCAAAAATTTTGATTCGAAAGCTCGGTTGTCACTTTGAGGAAGATGGAGATCAATTGCTCATTTGCCTACGTATGAAAAGTGTAAGCGATTTGCAGAAGGCATTTGAAAGTATTTATAATCACGGAAATACAACTTTGATAATAGGTCCAATTCTTCAAATGAACATAAGAGATATCTTAAAAAATAAACCATTGGATTCAATTTCATCTATTCTAATTGGTATAACGTCGAACGAAGGTGCTTTTTTACAAGATTATTGGTTGGACTTGGCACGCGAAAGCTATGACGCATTGCAGTCATATATAAACTTTACTATTCTACCACGCATACTGGAAAAATTTAATGTGTCTTCAACATCTAGAACGAATATTGTCAAGGAGCTTTATATGCGATATTTCAATGGTGAGGCAGGAAGTAATGTGATTTATTTATTAAATTCGATGCAGAGAATGCTGTCAGAGTTCTTTTATGAGATGCCGTTCTATGACACTTTAGAGACATTAATATCAAATAAATTTACTAAGTCTTCTATATATGCATATATATTTGATACACCTAATTCATTGGATATGCGTGGTAAGCTAAACCTTTTCGGTGGTGCTTCGCATTCCTCAGATCTACCATTATTATATGGACAAAGTCTTTTTCAACAAATATCCAGACGACGTTTAACAAATAATGAAGAAAAACTTTGTCGCCATATTCGAAATGTGTTTCTAAGTTTTATAAAAAGTGGGAACCCCACAAATAATAACTCTAACATTTGGCTTTCATATAAAAATGAACATAAATTCGTTTATAATATTGGTTCTGGAACGGAAAAGGGGATAGATACTACTTTTATTTCATCAATGTATTTAGAAAATAATATCGAAAAAATTACGAACTTGTTATATGCGGAAACAAATAACATGGAAACGAGATTACCTCGACCAAGCCGTAATGATTTAGGAAATATACACAATAATAGCTCAAGATATGAGGAAGCTAGTACAAAAAATCAACAGTATACAATTTATGCTTTGCATCTAAAACGCGTCTATGAATTCTGGAAAATATACTTACCAAATATTGAAACATTTGATAATGAATCGGACTATAATAGATTTCATGGTGCTTACAGTTATCGTATACGTCTATTAGAAGCTTCAGCAGATGCTGCAAGATATAAACATGGATTTTTTGTAATGCTGGGATTGGTTGTTGTACTTTTAGCCATTCTTGCGGTTTGCGTACATTTACTTCGAAGTGGTGCAAATGACATTCCCTCAGAAACAAATTTGTTCTGCTCATGACGAAAGTGGTTTCTTCGATCGACCATCTTTAGACGCAAATCCGATGATATATTCAAAGATGGAAGCTGTAGCACAAAAACAGTCGACACCTCGTCAAAAGATGGTCGGTCAAAGAAACGTCAATTACATACCAACAAATGTTTACCAGCTAGCCAATCACAAATATATCGAACAACTCGCAGGCAACGTCAACCAGAGCAATGGGAGCACATCAGAGATATTACCGAAAAAACTACAACAACCACATCAACAAAGTATCAAAGAAATACAACAAGCTTACAAACAATGGCAACAGTCATGGATACTACGATCAGCAAACACCGAGAAGATATGGGTATTAAAAACTGGCAATATCAATTAACATGTGATAGATTTTAATATATGAGTATATATATATGTTAGATGTATAAATAATAATATTGTAATTGTAACATTTTAAAATATAACTACTTTTTTCTAAGATAAATACATGAGGACCTTAAAATATTTTTTGAAAAGTAACGAAAAGCATTCGAAGGTAAATACTTTTGTGGTATTATATTATTAAAGATTGTATCAAATTTCAAATCATTGTCTGGCTCTACATAGCCGTTACTAACCTGTTCTTTTATATATTATTGTGTTTTATGGGCGCAATCAATACCTAAGGCTGCTTTGAAAAGTACAAAGGAAGGCTGTACTTCAAGTTATTAGATTTCTATGCCCCACTTCAATGAAAGATATATTCACGTTCCCTTATTGGTTTTTGTTTAGGGTTTTGATAAAACATCAAGCAAAATTAGTAGTAAGTATGTAGGGATTTATCATTCACTGGTCCTATTGACTATGCGTGCTCATATTCATACTTTATTCAAGAATTTGGCTCTATTGTACAGAGCAGAGATTACTAGATACTAGTGTAGTCCCTGCAAACAGAATTGAACTATACTGATGGGTCCAAAATAAGCAACAGAGTCAGTAGTAGAATATTTTGTAATCAGTTGGATCAAAACGTTTCAATGCGTTTCAACTGTCAGAGTTGTCATCCTATAAAATTAATGTCAGAACCAAGCTGACAACTTTATTAGGATGTTCTTCTTAAGCTTGAATGCGGGTATCGCAGTTTCTCGAAGTGACGCTGCGCACTACATGCTTCAGGTCTTTGGTTTACACAATGACTCATTCGGTTTATCACACTCAATTGAATGTTGTAATATGTATGTTTAATCGTCATTTATGTAAGAACAGTTTATTCTCTACATTCTGTTATCAATAACAAACCAACAGAAAATAATATAGCTCCGCTTAAGTTCAAGTGAAACGTAAGTAATTCATATGTATAGGGTTATATCTTTGAAAAATCATGTAAATCAGGTATTTTTCAGTCTTCTCCAATCATTTTTGCGTTTTGTATCATGTGAGAGATTTTCATCATGTGTTGCGAAGCAGAGATGAAACATATGGAATTATTTCTCGCATGCGATAAAATTTAAAAAATTATTTCAAAACTAAATACGAATATTCCTAAATTCATGTTATATTTTATTTAACTTAATAGTGTATTTAAAAATCACATTTTTACATTTTTGATTTAAACTTTACATACTCCATATATTTGTTTATATTAATTTATTTATTTGCGTATAGAATATTTATATGCGATTAAAATATAAAAATAACTCAGACTGTTAAATAAATTAATATTTGAAACTGTTCACATTTAAAAACTTTCAATATTTTAGTCGTTATTATGGTTTTTGTTTGTATAATTTTTTTATTTATATGAAATATATATTGCATGTATATAATTTTGTTTACAACATTAAGCTTTTATTAACAATTTTTGATAACTATTTGTGTCGCTTTACGATTTTTAAATTGTGTATGTATTTGATCTGTTGAAATCATATAAGGTGCATGTATATGGTGTATATAATTGTGTATATTAAGGCAGTTTTATAAAACTTGAGAATATGCATGTCGTAATATCAATAGTTGAGTAATTAATATTTTTCATCGAATCATTAGATACAAATTAATGTTTAGTTTTATTTAATCATTTGCACATTTACGAATATTGAAATACAAAATCTGAAGTCTGCACGCAGTTGGCAATAAACATATCTCTGGAACGTTCAGTTTTTATAAGTTTCCTTAAACGCATTAGGAATGTCTGTGATAGCATAATAGGTTAAATTCTTAGAACTTAAGCTAGTATGTCCCAATAAGATGAGCTGCCATTGGCATCTATCTTTACATACATACTGTTTCTTTTAGAGTTCGTCGATATTTACAGAAGTGTATAGCAAATCGATAAAATATTCTTCTTCTACATATATACATTTAGATGTTCAATTAATTTATTTAATCAATATTGATAGTCCCCCAAAATTACAGAATCATTTCCACTGTGTAAATGCAATTAAATTGAGAATAATGAATATCAGCGTAATGACAAGCTGGGATTAATATCAACACCACAATGAATGTAGTGATAGGAAAATACATGGAGAGGGATCACAATCGGTTATAACAGCTCAAACTTTATTATATAAATAAGGTAGTGACATGCAGATTGATTTAGTTGGATTTCACGAGCAGATAACTATAATAGTTTATCATGTTTAATAGGTTACAAGAAAATACCGAAAAGATTCTTAAAATAAAATAAAGAGTGATCCTTTTTATTCTTAACTTTATATGAGATCAATAACGCTCAAGAAAGCAACAGATATGTTCGCAGGTCTTTAAGCCAGTGATCTACTATTAGTATTAGAAAATAGTAGAAAGTACTATTATTTTTTAATACTATTAGTATTAAACTATCTATCTAAAGCTATGTTTTTAAAATAAATACCAAGCCTTAGAAAGTACCTTAAAGTGTCTAACACAATGGAGACTGGTCGTTATTTGATATTTTGAAATTGATAGTTGAACGTGATTTCATACAATCTATTCAAACAGAACATACGTATGTGTATGCGGCTTTATGCTTTCAGAGCTTTACGAATCTAAAAATTTTGTAAGCGTTTATGATTTGGGTCTTTTATCAATGGAAAGAGATATGGTAATAAATATTAACGATATGATTAAGAGGTTTGTAAGTCTGACTACTATTTGTGGTTAAGGTTTTACATCCTGCCCTTCAATTATAGCTTTTATGTTGTTGAACTCCTCTAGAAAGAACACTATGGTAGAAATCCGAAATGATGACAGCATGAGTTTCTCACAATGGATGCTCACAATAAATATATAATATTATGCAAAATATTTTTCATTAAATGCTAATATGAATTTTTGGTCGTTTTAAAATGTATTCAAATTGATTTCTTTGTAATAGTATGCCTCTTAATAAAAATATTTTTATAAAATTTAAAGAGAAAATCCACTGTATTTCATTTCAATAATTGATTTAATAATTATTGTGTATGTGTCGTATAAAACCTGTATGTATATGTATATTTCTATCTCCATTTTACAATTTTTCAAAAATAATTGATTATAAAACATGCTTTCTTAATTCATAACTTTTATTACTCATCTCCTATGGTATTTCCTATACAATAATACAATATATATATGCATATATGTGTACGCAGAATTCCAGGGCAAAATTCTGCTTAAACCAAAAATAAAATATTTTTCCACTTCTTAAAAAAGATGCCCACTTGTTAATATAAATATTGACAAAGTACTAATTGATGTAAGTTCCTACTTCTTAATATCGCAAACTTAAACTAATCTGTAATGATAAGCATAAATAATCAAAAAAAAAATGATTTCGAGGATGTGATACACAGGTTAGTTAATTGGAATTACTTTATCGTGAGGATCGACGGTTGGGAAGCCACGCTCTAACAACATACAGATATCTATGACATGCAATTACTATTTATATTTAATATAAGTATTGCAGGAAGCCCAAGGAAACTATATTCCTGTTCTTTTCAGAAAAATTTAACGTATCTTGTGTACAACTACAAACAATTATCATTTGATTGGAATATTACAATTTGTTTGTCGTATTAAAATGAATGGTACTCCAACATGACAGGAAAAGTTTATAATCGGAATATTAACAAAAAATGTTTATTTTGCTATTCTAATTATAAATAATAGGTGTGTTTTTATAGAAGTAATCCTTTTGTTTTTATTTACATAAACGTAATGTTACACAATCTTATTTCCAGCGAACCAAAAACTCCTGAAAGGTTTTTATAAAGGTTGTTTCTTTACCTTTTTGACTATTTTCATGTATGATTTCTTATTTAAGACCCTACAACGAATGTTTTTTTATTTGTTCCATTAGAATGTACCATAATATGTCATAAATGGAATCATAAAAATGTATTCAGAGTGATGCCATCTAAAATTCATTCTCAATCTTTTTTGATTTAATCAAAAATCAATTTAATCAAAAACCATTTTATTTACAGATATATTTACATCGAATTAGTCTTTTCAAAAGCAAAGCACCGCAAATTTTTAGATATCTGTATGTTTCTGAAGTTTAGATAAAATATTCTTAAAATGGAATAATATGGATTATTTTTTAAAAACGTATATTTTTTAGTCGCTTTTAAGCTCTAAGTAATGTTCAACTCATGTTTAAGTAGCAGTAATAGGTTATATTGTAAACGACTCTTAATGTGCATCTTATAACATAAAAAAAAATATATTGACTATTTACCCTGTGTTTATAAGTAATATTTACAATTTAATCACTAATATAAAAATAATTTTAAAATATTTGAAGAATAAAATGTTCTTAAAAACTGAATAGAACTCAAGATATACACACATATATATATTTAACATTAATTGTAGAAAAGTATCCGATAGATACTGAAATAATAATAACACAGTACGGTCATAAGAGTAAAATATTATTGTATAGATTAATAAATGATTTCTATATCTAAAAATGACATGTTATGTTTGGCATATGATATTTCTGTAAAAAGAATATTTGTGATGTGTAAAACAAATAAATAAACATGTATGGATTCTTTCGTGTTGTATTTATAATAATACATAATCAGAAATGCTATATTTCACGTTTCATGTATATTTTTTGTGTTTTCATTTTGTATAAAATATATTGCTAAGAATACAAGTATTTTATTTTACTTTTGTGCTTTGAAAGCACAAAATGGCAACTTAGATCGAGATTACATATAATTTTACATATCATAACATAAAGTAAATAAAACTTTAAAAATGCTAAAACTTAAATTTTTATATAAACAATATAAGAAGGACTAAAATTGCTTAAAACTATAAACATTTTTACACTAACATTAATTTAAAATTGTGCAAATTTACAAACATTTACGAGTATGAATAAACTATATACAAAATAAGCTTTATAACAAACGTCATAAATAAATTTAACATTATAACCAAACGAATGCGTACATCTGATGTATATTTATAAATTTATCCTATTATTTTAATATGTGGACAAATTAAAAAAAAAAGGGTTGGAATTTGTGACGCATTCTGTTCACATTTACTCACACTAGCATACAGGATATTTTCGAGTGTGCATTTATAAAAATTTAACTTCGCTTAGAAAATTGCAACATTTACAAAAGATCAGTTTTATTTAATTTATCTAGAAAATATAATTATTGTTACTTTTCAGTTTCAGTTAAGTTTTTATCTAAACTTCCTTATAAACTCGTATAGATATATATATATACATATATCATATTGTGTATAAAATATATAACAAAACATAGAAAATTGTAAAACATCGGCTACTTAAAATACATACATATTCATAACATATGTGTTTCCTCCTTTTGTGTGTGTGTTAACTTATTACTTGGAATAAAAATTGGTAATTTATTGTTTGTTCCTTTACGGTTTGCTTAGTCATAAGCATATGGCATTCTTTTTTTTTAATATCTGTGTTCTTTATGCTCTAATATTTATACTCTAGTAAGTATCAATTTTTACATTACATATTATATTTGCTTAAGCTTATATAATTATTATATAATTATTTTAATTAACTTTTAATTAACATTAATATTTGACTTCGCATACTATTGCATGTTATGTGTACATGGTTAATAGGTGTTTATGTATTTGTGTATTTATGGCCGCTTGACCTAATTTATTTATAGAGTCAATTGGTGTAACGCTAGCTACCAACTAATTCTATCTGACGGTATTTTTTACGTAAGTTGGAAACTGGATCTCGATACAAAACTGGATCTAATCGCAAATTTGACCGAATCAATGGCATGTAACTGCAAGAATATTAATTGATTGATTACTTTCAACGACTAATTGCAAAAAATATAACATTTCAAAATTTATCTTTAAATTATATATATTGAATATATTGACATATTTGTCCGTTAACGGTTATCAACTTACCCGAAAACTGCCGCAAAGGTATTTAAACAACTTTGCCTTTGTATAAAATGGTCGGGATCATTCCATGGTGAATGCCCTGTTTCTCGATCTTTGTACCCTTTGCGTTGCGTTACTTTGATCGGCGGTTTTCTTGTTACGTGAGATACCAGCAAATTCATCAATATATCTTCACAATTTGAAGATTGCTGTACAGTCTTTAAAAGTAGTAACGACAACCAGTTGGTGTACAAATAGTTGTAATAGCGATGATAAAAAGCTGCACCTGTTAGCACAATCGAATAGTAGTTAGTCCACTTTGATGTATAACCCCAAGCATTCTATAACAAAACACCAAAAAAAAAATATTATGTATATGGTAAAACGTAGTTTAAATTGAAAAAAAATTGAAATTATAAAACAATTTTATACCTTTGCATCATCCCAAAAATGTGCTCGAGCAGGATAGCCAACAATTCGATCAGGGAAATCACGCCATACAGTATATGCGAAATCCAGTTCGTCTGTGTTGAGTATTGCATCTTCATCTAATGAAAGTACAGCATCTGTTTGAATTTCAGGATATGGATAAAAGCGTTCTGATATGCTAGGTCGTTCTTCAGTCGTTTCAGCAGTATATGCTGTATTGTGTGGCTCAGCCTGATCTTTTTCATTGCCTAGTTTATTTACAAAATTAGCAAAGGAACCGGCTTGGTTAGCATTATGCTGTTTTATTATCTGAATAGAGCCACTTATCGATATTACATGGAATGGTATGTGATATGTTGTTGGCCAACGTTTTTTTAAAGGAATTGGACGATCAGCAGCCCACAAAATAATTATCTTTAAATAAAACGAATTCAATATTAGATTCTAACCGTGAATTTAAAAAAAATTTTCTTTACCTTATCTACAAATTGACTTTTAGCAATTGTTCTGACTAGTTTATAAAGAGCAGAATTTGTAGTAAGTGGGGCACCTATTTGCACATAGATAACTGCTGTATAGTTGTGACGTGGTTCCATATACAATGAATCCAACTGAAACGGCAAATATCTAAAAAAAGGAATAGTTGAGAAAAAACTAGTAAAAACTTAAAACGAAAAAATACAACCTTGAACTATCTGCAAATGTAGGAAGAGTAAGTAAAGCACCAGGAGATGTATTCCATATAAATGTACTCCGAACTGGATAATCAGGCAAGCGTTCACGAATTATCTAAAAATAAAAATGATGTCAAGATATATGTAATATTTCAGTATATAAGAATAAAAGTTTGGTTTATAATTTATAAAAAAAATAACATATAATGTTTAATATATGTAATGTTCAAATATACACAGTTATTTTCATACTTGATATTATTCTTTTTTATAATAACTTCACAAAATCTAAATGGAACATTAGTTATTTAATTAGTTGTTTAAGAATAATTCAAGACAATGCAATTGTCGAACGAGTATAATATATGTAGATATTCTCAGATGTCTGAGAATTATCAAGCTGATTACTAGGGTTAACATTGTGTACACCTTATTTACACTTCACCCGGCTTCACTTCACTTCACCACGACCTCCCCCTGACGTATCTATTCCTTAAACCCGGGCCCCCCTCATCTGCTCTAACCCCACCCTCTTCTTCATAACCCAATTTCCCTAATGTATGCCCTTGCTTTCTGGCTTAGATAAATCTAGCTCTAGATCTATGTACTAAGTCTATTTTTTTCTCCTCTCGTCCCTGATTATTGGAATAAAGTGTTCACAACGCTGTGGAAAGCTTCTCCATTCATTCCTAAGAGGTGGTTTAGTGGTTAAGTATCACACGGTGGCTTTCTGTCACCGTTTACTGTCAAAACAGTAGGTGGAAGTCAATGTTATCACCTAAACTGGATTGCTCAGGTTGAAATTTCAATTGATAACTTCGAAGGTGATTTTAAAAAACCTAATGTTTCAAAAATTAGCCTCTTGAAAAGTTAATCCAGTACTGACAAAATAATTAACGCAGAACCTAATCATATATTTACAATTAATATCATTTATTATATATAAGCATAGTTTGTTAGTTACTTGGAATATATGGACAGTTTGAAAAAAAAAACATTTTATGGCAACAATAATGATACTAACAAATTTGGTAACGTTTTGTAAACAATTTTGAAATGAAGTTAATAAAATGTAAGTTCTGGATTTCAACGCAACATAAATAAAGTTTACAATCCTAAAATCAATACATATATTTAATGAAAAAATTGTTGGTTGCTATAGAGATCAAGAAAAGAAATACTTTTATATCGTTTTGGAGTGCACATGAGGCAATATATATATATATATATAGCATAGGCTCATAATAAAGTGGATATTGGCACAAATAATAGAGCTACTGTTGTTCTTATTTCAGTTGTTGTTGTTCTAATTTATAAGTACGTGTGCGCTCAAGTGTGAATGTGAGAAAATATATTTTATATTTATTATTTTTATTTTAAATATATCTATGAAGATATAACGATAATGTTAAGATAATGTTAAATTTTTTGGGACTCGAAGTATGAAAACTATATAAAATAAGAAAAAAATAAAACAAATTACGTAAAATATTAAAATTAAAATAGTTAAACATTTAAAAAACATTTAAAAAACAAAAAAAAATCAAGTTAAATAAAGTAATTTCTGCAAATATTCAACAAAGTAGTAGTTAATTAGTTTCATTGTAAACTTCCGTGAAGAACTTTAAATGCGAAGTTAAATTATTTAAATGTTGGAGTTCATTCATTTGACTGCTGCGGTTAAATGCGCAATGTTACTTTTACGTACTAGATTAAACGTCCTCGTATAATTGTGGATAGATACATTTACAACTATAATTCTTGCAAGATAATTTATTGCGGGCAGCTACTTTCGAGCAAGAGCACATGCATTTTTCGCTGTGGATTTTATCAAGTACTTCTATTGTTTTCATTTGTTACGCAACGGGATGGGTATCGTTGTAATCTAACCGGAGTCATTGTGCTGCTACTGCTGGAAGCACAGTGCACACGACATGGTGAACTAGTTAATTATGAACATAATTTCTTTTTGTTCAGAATGTCAGAAAACTAGGTAAAATATAATTGGGGCAGTAAAATGAAGCGAAGTAAATAAAATGTTAGTTCCGGGTTTAAACGCCACATGAATAAGGTGTATTACACCTAAACAATTATTTCATCCGTATACATAAGAATATGTTATAGTATTCTTTCCAGTCTCTTTGTGACCTTTTATAAGTTAATTTTATATTAATGCAAATATAATTAAACACTCAAAGAATCCATCTATATAGACACATACAAATTTAACTAAAACATTTAATTTCATCAACTCGTGTCAATAACAACCTTATCTATATAGTTAAATAACTCTCGTTAACAAATTTGACGGAGTTTGATCTAGGCACTGAAAGTTTTATTAACACATCACATAGTAAGTAATAAGACTAATGTTAAAAATATAATTTATATTTTTTTTATCAATATAGATTTCAACAGCAATACAAACATTCTAACAGTTTCCATATAGAACTCCTAAAAAGACTTAGTATTCATTACTGCTTTAAAGTTCCAGTACTTGTATACTTAAAATGCTTGATCCGAATGTTCGAAAATGTAAATGTTTTATGATTCCTTCTATTTTCTTAATGCGTATAACAATAAAGGTCCGAATACCATACGGACTTTGAACAGTTCCGAGCAGCTGAAGCACAAGCATACCTGAACATCAAAATGCTTTAAGCTTCGAATAACTCTAATAATATTTTAAACTCTCGTGTTCAATAATTCTAATAATAATTCTATGCGTTTGGTGGAAAAAAATCAAGAGATAGGTCACTTTAGAAGCTGATTGCAGAAAAAGTGCACAAGATGGATAAAAAATTCTTTAGCATAAAATTTTAGTAAGATAATGAGGTACTGATATATAAAAAATAAATTAAAATAATTTTTAAAAATTTTTTAAATAATTAAGATTTTCGAAAATTATATTAATAATTTGTGTTATTTTTTTTTTAATATTTATTGTAATTTTTTTTATTGTTCTGTGGTCGATGGAATGTTTTATGATATATGATACTTATGTATACCATATACGTGACAAACACAAAACACATTTGCGAAAACACTCTCATAAATGAATTTCATCTTCTATGAACTCGTATCTTAACCATTGAACCATATAAAATATTTTAAAATAGTATATAAACTTTTAATACCAAAATTATCAGACAATATTTTTTTAAATCTTAAAGATTGTTCAATTTTAAAGTGATTGCATCCCTAAAAGTATGCCCGATATTTAAATAATTGTTATTGTTGTTATTACAATTTCTGGATACACAAGTTCAAAGGACACATAAACTCTATCATAATTTAAATGCAAGAGATTAGTGTAGACACCCTATATATAATTTTTATTGATCACTTAGAAAAATAAATTTAACAAATTATATACACTGAAATTAGTCTTGAGATAACGTAAGTGAACTACGTAAAGTATGTAAAGTATGAAATCACAATGAAAGGACACAATGGCTGAAATAATGATTTCATAATTGTGTGTGTAAGGGCTTTAATTTTGGTTCGATCAAAACAAAAAAGAGATAGTGAAAATATAAGTGTGTAAGGACTACTTATTGCAGAAAAAGGCACTTTTTAGCTGCATTTGTACTCCTTATTTCTGCTACTGGGCAATAATGATGACCCATATATAATGGAAAATATTTCATGTATGTATGTGTTTTTATTGCAGTGTGAAAGTTTTTCAAAATTCTGTGGTATACGACGAAGGTTTGAAAACATTTTAGATATATTGATGATAATTGGAGAAATGTTCAACTCAGGAATATAATAGAAAAGCCGAAATAAAGTCCAATATAAAATTATTTTACTGTTAGTGAAGGACCGCTGCAATTCGTGAATTTTACTATGTTATCTTACAAGTTACAAATTGTATTTTCTTTTAATAAAAAGTGAAACACAACCGATTCGTTTGATTCTTCTTTATTGAATAATTATGATGAGGATAATAACTTATATCTAAACCTTAAGATCTAAGCATCACTTCCAGCTTCGCTTCTAAACATTACCATAAAAGGCAATGTTTCACAAAAGATATATTAATGCTGGGCTTGCAATTTGCAGATCTCATTTCCAGCCTTTGTTCTACTAAGCTTATATTTACAATAAAATAGAAGCGTTGATTCTAATTAAGATTATGTTTATTTTCATTACCATAAAAGGCAATGTTTCACAAAAGATATATTAATGCTGGGCTTGCAGTTTGCAGGCGTCATTTTCAGCCTTTGTTCTACTAAGCTTATGTTTACAATAAAATGATATATTTACGTTAAATAAGAAATCTGGAAATGTATGCACTACATTATTTATTTAAGGTATATTAGTTAGGGGTAAGACTATGTCACTTACATATGTACATATATAAAGTGTAATAATAATATGTTCAAGCTAAAAATTTTAGTGAAATGTCAGTTATTGTTATAAAGCAATCGAATTGTTGTTGTAGTCCAATCCAAATTGTTGATTTAGTGTATACAAGTTATGACTAAACAACAGTATTGTTTTACATGAAATTTCCCAATTTTATAAGCTTGACTTTGACTTTAAATTTCGTAAAATTGTGCCACTCTATTTTTTTGTTCTTTATTGCTAATGATATTTAAAATAATTCTTAATTAGAAATATTTAATTGCAAATAGGTACCGTTTCTAGATTTTTTAAAAATAAAGTTATTGAAAAAATCAATATTAGTCAATTTTTTTTCCATATGATTTGCAAAATCAGAGCTCAGAGATCTAATTTTTATACACCAACCCAAAAGCTTTTCAAATTTCTATAAACATTATGCATTTGTTCCTTTTTTAAAAAAGAATAAATTTTTCAATATTTATACATACATACATACAGTGGCTCACAGCTTATTTGATGCAAGCAAAAATTTTTTGAAAAATGTTGTTTATTTCAAAATATTTTGCAAAATTAAGAAAACAAAGTATGCAGAGTTATTGTTTATAGTGTGTTTATTCATTTTAAGAAAAAAAACACCCAAAAATCTTCTTCCATTCCTTAGTAATGCATCAAAAACCAAAACCAAATGAAAAATTCATGTCACAGCTTAAATGATGCAGTTAAGAATACCGTTATTTTTGTCGCCAAATTACACAGAAATTAAAA